GGTGACGTTTTAGGCCTCTAACGGCGTGGATTTTACGCCAGACCGTTCTGGCGTCTGTACGGTTGTTTAATCCCTCACAGAATTTTTTCCAGTCTCTAGTTTTTGCTATTTTAACTAGGTTTTGTACCTGGTGGTTTAGTTGGTGAGCTACTGGTATGTGGTTATGGTCGCGTTTGGCTTTGTTGAAGGCTGTTTTACGTTTTTGTCTAGTTAGTTCTATTTCCTCGTTCCACCAGGGTACAGAGGGCCTACCCGATTTATTGGGTTTTTTAAAGGGGATTGCGCTTTTGGCTGCGTTTATTATGAAGTCCGTTAGGTTTTGGCAATATATTTCTGGGTCACTATTTTCTAGTTCTACTAGGTTAGCTTGGTTGCATATGTCTTGGAATTTATCCCAGTTAGCCTGGTTGTAGTTAAATTTAGGTTCTGAACTTTCGGATTGATTTGGGACGTTAGTGTTTCCTATGGTTATGTTTATGGGGAAGTGATCACTTCCTAGGGGGGCGTCGTGAACTTCCCATTGGGTACTTTGAGCTAAGTCTGCTGTACATATGGTTAGGTCGATAGCCGACATGTTTTTATTGTTTTTGTCGTATCTGGTAGGTTGGTTGTTATTTAGTAGTACTAAATTATTTGTTTCTATCCATTCTGATATTAGTTTGCCGTGATTATCTAGTTTATCTCCCGTGCCCCAGGAAGGGTGGTGGGCGTTGAAGTCTCCTAGAAAGATGGTAGATTTGTTGCCTATCTTTGTGAGTATGTTTAGATCCTCCGGTTGGATTTTCTGTTGTTGCCAGTGGTAGATGTTTATGATGTTTATTTTTTGGTTTTTAAGGGTGATTTGGATACCATTGGCTTCTAGGTTTGGGGTGTTTATTTTGATTTCCTCGTAGCTTATGTCTTCTCTAATTAGTATTAGTAGGCCACCTGATGCTCTTATTATTTTGGTTTTAGGTCGATCATGTCTGACTATGTTGTAGTTTGGTAGGTGAAATTTGGATTTATTGGAGAATTTAGTTTCCTGGATGCACGCTATGTGTGGTCCTTGTTTTAGTTTAAATCTAGCTTTTAATTCGTGGCTGTGGGAGTTAAGCCCGGCCGCATTCCACTGAAAGATATTTAGGCCTGTCATTATGTGGGCTTTTAGTGTTTGGAGATTACGATTTTGGTTTGGTTTTTGGTTTATAGTCCTGCGATTGCTAGGTTGTAACTATCGTAGAATTCTTGGTAGGTTTGGGTAGTTAGATTTAGTCTATGTGCTACCTGGTGTAGGTTAGTGGCTTTAAGGTCTGGTTTGATTTCTTTAAGCATGTATACTAGTAGGAGTGTGAAGCTATTTAGTTTGGTGGTTAAAGTTTCGGGTTCAGGTTGAGTTTGGGGTTTGCGTTTGCGATTTTTCAGGGTTTTGGGGGCTGAAAATGTTTTATCATTTATGTTTTGATCAGTTGTGGTTTGGGAGTCATCTAGGTTAATTAGATTGGTTTCCTCACTATCCATGGGAGTTGTGTGGGTGTTTGGTTGTGTTGGAGTAGGTGTACTGGGTATTTCAATGGGTTTAGTAATGTTTAGTTTTTCGTGTGTTGCTTGCTCGTGTGTGGTTGTTGTTGCCCTGGTGGCTGTAGATTGTATGGTGTTGGGGTGAGATATGGTAGTTTTAGTGAGTTTTGGTTTAGGTGCGGGTGTGGATGCGGCGACTGGTTTGGGTGTGGCGAATGTTGGCGGGTAGTGTTGGGTTTGGGTGTTTGTGGCTGATGCTTGTGGTGTTGGCATGAGGACGCCGTCGTACGGGCTCTGTAGGTGTGGTTGGTTGTTTGGTTGTGGTGTGGGTAGTAGGGGTGTTCTTGGATGCTGTGTCAGTTTTCGTGTTTGTAGTTTGGCCGAGTCGATGTTTATGTGTCGGTTGGCCTGTTGGGTGAGTGTGTGTTTGTGGGGGCATTTGTTGGATAGTGAGGAGTGGGTGTTTGTTTTGCAGTGAATGCACCAGGGGGCGCATGGCCCTAGACATTGAGGTTGAGCGCAGTTTCTACATTTAGTTTTTTGATATTTACATCCGTTAGCGGTGTGATTGTATTGGAGGCAGTTTGTGCACTGTTTGACTTGTTTGATATAGGGTTTAACTTCTAATTTAGATGACGCTCCGAAGGAGATGTGTTTAGGGGCTTCTGGATACGTTTCTGATTTTTGGAAGTTTATGATGACTATCGGCGTGTTGGTTATTCTACCGTTCCTATTTGATGTAATTCTTTTAGTGCTGGTTATTTTAGGTTGGGGGAAGGAGCCTGTGTTTAGATTTGCTTCGTTACTGTAGAATTCTAGGTCCTCCTCTGACTCTCTAGGGTTTACTCTAATTACTCCTCTAGTGTATAGTTGCCAGTTTGGGGTTTGGTGGGTTACTGTGTATTGAAATATTTCCGTTATTTTTTTGGCTGCGTTAAGTGATTGTTGGTCCGGAAAGATGATCTGAAATCCTTTGTGGGCTTCCCTGATTTTATCGAAGAGTATTTGTTGTTTTTTAAAGAATGATCCTACTTTATTGGCGGAGAGTACCTTACTTAGGATGTTTATGGGGCCAGCCGCGCAGAAGTAGAGGGCGAAGGTGACTATAGATGCGGGGGTGGAAGGTGATGCAGGTGTTGTGTTTGAAGCATTTAGCTTCCGTTTCTTTGGGTTTGTTGTGGTTGCAGGCGAATCCGGAGTTTTGGTGGGAGAAGCGACTGTGGTTTGCTTTCCGAATTCGTGCGGGATGAGGGTTTCAGGTGTCCGATCGGAGGTGTTGTGGGCCTCCGATGGTGTGGGTGTGTCTGTGCAGTGGATGTCTGCCTGGGTGATAATGCGTGTGTCGGTCATGTCTGTGGTAGTGTAGCTGTTGTAGGTTTGTAGGTTTTGGTTTGGGGGAGGAGAGTGAGCTGGGCTTAAGAGGGGGCTTTGTGTGTAGAGTGGGTGACTGGGTGAGTAGTGTTTGGCTGGCTTCTACGCTATTTGGGTTTTGGCTGGTGAGTTAGTTTGTTTAGCTAGGAGATTTGGAGAGTTGGTGTTTTAAGTGGGCTTGGGGTGAGTTACCTTTGGCCTAAGTTTGAAAGGGTGTGTTTTGGTAGTAACTAGAGGGTTTGAGGGTTTGGTGTTTTAAGTGGGCTTGTGTGTGAGTGGTTTTAACCTAGATTGTATGGGTGTGTTGTGATAATTACCGATGTGTTGCTCTTGGGCTGGCTATCAGTGGAACTGTGCTGGCTTGGGAGGCTTTGCTGGGTGAGGTTGGCTTGGTGGCTGGATGGCTTGGGTTGCTTCGTAGGCTGGAGAGGTGTTGCTAGCTTGGAGTACAAACTGCGGGGTAGAGATGCATAGAACCAACACCTTAAGTACATTAACTAATGAGGTAAAAACACCTTGACATTTCCGTGTTTGCGACGTGACTGCGTGTGCCCACGTAACGGCAATGCGTTCAGGCAGGGGCGGGCACTTTCTCACCTTTAAATCTGCATATTACTGACAATCAAAACGAGACATGTTTGTTTCTGTTCATGGCGTAGTCGTGTTGACATACATAGATTGATATGGGGATATCTTCTTAATAAATGCCTGGTGTAATGATAAGTATACTCCTAAGGGAGCTGAGAATGGTTGTTGAGTGCACACTGATCCAGTGACGGGTAATAACAGCGCTCTGAGCATGCCCCTGTGTGGTGTGGAAGTATGCGCAATATAAATTACCTATTATTGATATATTATTATTATTATCATCATCATCATCATCATCGTCGTCGTGGTTGTTATTATTATTATTACATCTCGCATCCGACACCATTTCCACTTTCGGGACTCTAAAATCGCCTCGTCATCTGATATGTGACGCTCGTGAATGAATTAACGAGATTCCCAGTGTCCATATCTACTATGTAGCGAAACCACACTCCCCTCAGCACGGGCATGGTGCTGACAAACCAAGAAACATACGCATGGGTTTCTAGAACGCCTAGGGGGCGCAACTCTGCAGAGGTAACTGTGATCTGATATGAGGAATAATTGCATCCGTCATATATAGACGTGAGAAAATAATTTGCATGGTGACTCTGACAAAGTATTTACCTCACATATTGCTAATCTACCACAGCAGTCACTGGTGACACAAGTGGCCCAGTCGTCTAAGGCCCCGCAATTCGCTGTGCAAAATTGTGTCACTCGTGCACGCCAGAAACCTATGATCGTGGGTTCGAATCCATGTTCGCCTCGATTATGTTTGTAGGTTTGGCAGCACCATACCCGTGCTCGCGGGTTTCACCAAAGTGGTAAACGTCTGTGACCCGCATCAGTTCGGACTTCCCTCCAAAATCAAGCTGCCACGCCGTGATATATAACTGAAATACTGGCCAAAGCGGAGTTAAAACCCAACTCACTAACTCTCTCAGAAGTAACTATGGTTATGTAGGCGATCCTTGTATACAATGATTACTATCATCTTGTCCTTGGTAAACTTGAGAGTAAGTTTATCGTGAAAGATTGCATACTGAGGGCACTGATGTGTTGCAATGATGTAGTTTTGAGAACAGAAACGATTCAGGTTATCGACAACTGAACTTGAAGCATTTGTACTTTCAAAACTACATCATATCCAAGTATTGGCAGTGTGTTGAAAAGATGATACCTCTTTGCCTATGCTACCCGGATGATCCTGTCAGAATACCTGCATACATATACTCATTGCTGGAGGCTTAGGCTGTACCGACTGACACGTAGAGGTCAGAACTTCTGCAGGTGAGAGCGAAGAACCGGGCGATACTGGAGATTTTAATTTGCTTCATACAGTAAAATAGTTTTTTTCCATAAATTCAATAAATTCTGGTTTCCATAGCTCGGGTCGTTTGAGGCGGGCAAATTCCCTGTTTCCCCGATAGTAACAATGCAATAACCCTTCAACTTTAGAATAACACAAGAAAAAAAGTCAGTTTATCATTTTTAACGGCAAGCAATAATAAATATTCTTCTTACTCCCCTTTACCGGAAGTTTTGTGCCACGTTAGCGCACTTCCGTCATTTTCAGAAGTTGGAGAAAATTTGTCGGCGTGTTTATGCTGGCGAAAACGAACACTATAAGAGAGTGGTACTTTGTGAAATTGATAGTGGACTTGTTCAACTTGCAATTATGGTAGGTTTTTTGTTTGTGCTGAATATTCTGTCGTACATACTACTTTTATGGTCGACAAGTCGTGTATGTGTTGTTTCTGTACCGGCTGTTCAGTCAGTGATTTAATTGTGTACTAATTAATGCCACGCGTCTGTTTACACAAGTTTACTGTATTTTTAAAACAGATTCCCCTGAGTTTTCCTACCCTTCTCTGAGCTGTTGTGAAAGAAATAGGCTCCATCATCTGTTTAGAAAAGCCCTTCTTTATAAATGAAATTAGAATATGATATGTGTGATATGTCATGTGTAGTGCTGAGTTGGTGCTGAAGTGTATACAATAAATGTGACACAATACTTGAGTTTGTCTTCTGTATTTTCTGTGTGGCCGAAGATAGTGAAGATCTGATCTATGAACTGGTATTTTATGTTTGTCTTCTTTATTCCAATTTGACTTTACCTTTTGAGGCTGTTTTGACCCGCTCCCCCTGTCAGCATATTCAGTTAATTTGTACCTTGTTTGCCTCATGTCTATGTAGCAGGGCGTGGAGTCATCCTACAGATGACATCCTTATCTTGTCAGCTTGCTGACGGGGTTAACCTCTTTGGTCATGTAGACAAGGCGTCCGACCTCAGATCAGAAGGTTCAAATCCCATCACGGGACTCAGAAATTTTATGGCCGCTTCATCTAGATTCGTGGACAAGTTTACTCCTAGTAATCCGCTACAGACTGCATTTTGGGCTGATAATTATTTTGAACATGTGTTCACATTGCATGAGCTTTACCATGTTTGCAGATGAATTTTCTTATTGATCCAAATTGTAATATTTCATGTAAATATAGATTGTGAAAGATTGCTTTAATATGCAATTATAAATCACAATGTTCTACTCTTGTTAACATCATGAAGGATAAGGTTCCAGTTCAGTATGGCTTCTGACAGAGCTGTGAAAATTGACGTCTGGGTACTCAGTTTTTGGACGTTGAAAAACATGGTGTTTGGACATATTTTGATCTAAGCAATGTGATAAGAACCCCAAATCTGCCCTATATCATGTATATGCTGTCAGATTGAGTTTTAAAAGCGTAGGCATGTCATCAATGTTATCGTCAGTCACTGCACGTGTACAAAATTCAGTCGCGTGATGTTTACAAAATTATCAGATTCATAAGTGACAATTTGTCATTTGAAAGTTTTTTTCACATTGTTTTGACTGCTGACATATTTTTCATAGTTGCAAGATTACATGAACACAGGGTTGGGAGTTAAAACAGGAACCGAGCAGTGGAAGTTACAGAATTGACCCAGGTACCCAGGTCACCCTTCCTAGCCCCAGCTTCTGGACAGTGTGTGTGCAGAGTATGACCCATTAACAATGAGAGTGAATTAAGTATTGCTGAATACTGTGTTCATGTTAGCTTTTCTGTTTCAGGTGTCTGTCATCAACTCTATCGATACAGCTCATGAAGACATGATTGTAAGTTATTGTACATGTCCAGGGATAGACTTAGGCTGTGATTCAGTGCGATTGAAAATCGAGTACAATTCAATAGCTTTATCCGCATTGACACTCTTATATTCACCTACAAACATCGAAAAAGTCGTATAGCTTGAATAAAATTATCTACCAGGGATAATTCTAGGCCCACCTTTTGCAAATACAATGAGGCATTTTAACATTGTGCTGTATGCACCTCCCTCGGGAATATTTGAAATTTTCACATGAAGGGCCCATGTCAGAAACTTCCTGGAGTGAATGCTGATCTACTGTACCTAAAAAAATTACTCGATAATTTCTTCAGTCGTCAAAAATTGTCATTAGAAACAACAATTTCAATACTCGCAACACTGCATGCCATCTCTTACTGTGCATAACTGTTTCCTATATCACTGCGTGGAGCTTTGCACTACATTTTTTTATACCTGATTGTCAAATCCTATTCGGTGATCTACAACAAGTCGTTAACCATATTTTTTTGTCACTTAAATCCAAGCAGAAATCAATGACTACATATATGTGCATCCGTGCGGAAATCAAGAGAAAAATGCAATCACGGGTAAAGTTTCAAAACACAAGCAAATTTTAATTTTGGAATGACAAAACCAAACCTAAATGAATATACATACACCTCTTTCACCATAAGTATATATAAAATTCAGATAAAAAACGACCATATTTTAGATGAAATTCGTCTAGACTTTAAATAAGACAGCACTGGTTTTCATGAACATACCCTCTTGCAAGAATGGCCTACGTGCATGAATTATGAATTTAGAACTATTTCTAGTGGCCAAACAGCAAGTTGGAGATTTTTTTAGAATATGCCAGATATGTTTGCTTCCAGATTTGTCCATATTTATTGAAAACTGTAACTCATAAACATTGTGAATGTCAACAATGTTTTCAACTTTCGGTTACTCGTAAACATTTTCTGGCTGCTGCACATGGCAAACATGCCACCCTCTGCAGAAAATAAATGACTTAATTGTTGCTAATTAAACAAAATCTGGAGCAATAGTCATTGTATAATGAACTGTCACTGCTTATTAATTAAAAAAGTCCATATTGATAAGATTTCATTTGATATGGTCAGGCACCCGGTCTTTGATACACTGCACACTGCAGACGGAAATAAGACAGCAAAATTGACGAAAGCACTGGAATGTAAATTATATAGTTTTTGTCAACAAACTGTAACACCATTTAAAACTGTCACTATTTCATGTCATCACTTTGAATATATTAAATTACGATCTTAACAGACATTGTCGAAGACCTAGAAATTGTTTGTTTCCCGCACGCTAACGAAATGAACAGCTGATGGTGGTTTTGTTAACAAGCCTTATCTATAATTGTTCTCGCAAATAATTCCTCCTAAAGTCCACAATGAACTGAAATGCATAAATATTAATGTATTTTCTCCTAAAGTAGACAGTGAACTGAAATATAAATACTAATGCATTTTTTTGTTGATACTTATGCTAATATTTTTAAATATTCACAGTGGAATAATTAATGTTCGAAAATATCGGAGGATGTATCTATCATGTCTATATAATCAAGTAACATTAATTGCAACAAAATTTGAGTCACAAATACCAAATATCAAATACAGTTTCCACTGTGGGAAGACAAAATGTCTCTGAAAATTTGCAAAATCTCATTCCATGCCCAAAAATCTCATTGCTTTTAGACCAGGGGGGATTTTCTCTCATAGGTAAAAAATTCAAGGACAATCCTTGCGTGTCACCATCTACCCTCGCACTATGTGTAAAGTCATTGTGTTCATGTTGATGACTGGTGTTTATAATGCAGGGATGTTCATAGAGACAAATGCCATTAGGACATTTCCATGACTTTAGGACATTTTGATAGGACATATTTTTATGCCATCATCAGAATTAAGATCTTCAGGACAGTTTGGATAACATTTGATCAATGTCCTAGAAAATGTACTGGTGTAATACTGCAATGGAATCATCAATGTATTGATTAATACTTTAATACTACATGTAGAAACTTAGGTCTTAATAATCTTGACAACATATATTTAACATGTTGACACTACCATGTCATTTTAGAATCTTGCATTCGCCATGATTTTGCTGATTTTGCTGATGACTGCCACGTTGTACATACTACTTTTATGGTCGACAAGTCGTGTATGTGTTGTTTCTGTACCGGCTGTTCAGTCAGTGATTTAATTGTGTACTAATTAATGCCACGCGTCTGTTTACACAAGTTTACTGTATTTTTACAACAGATTCCCCTGAGTTTTCCTACCCTTCTCTGACAGACAGACAGACAGACAATAGTTTATTAACGTCTCACTCCTGTACATACATAAAACAGCTTTATACAACTTGACATAGATAAAATGTACAGAACCATTCAGTAGAATTATGAGCGACGAATTATCACAGAATTTATACATAAATGATATAAAGATATATAGTAAAAAGTTATCCATATAAAAAAGATGTTTTCTACGATTAAGAATTAAAAAGCAGACTTTGGCAAGTATAAAACACACACTGGAGTCACTGAAAATAAAACAAAGTTTGTCGACATCAGGCATATCTAAAACATTATAAGATTTAGCAATACATTCATTAAAAAGAGTTGCCCTGATATCATCATATAATGCGCAGTGAAACAAAACATGGACCTCGTCTTCTACGCTGTCATTACAGTGAAAACATCTTCTATTATTGACAGGTACACCTTCGTATCGACCGGTTTCCACTCGAATAGGAGCCACGCCACATCTAAACTTGGCTAGTGCCGATCTATAGTTTCTGGGCATCTTATTTGAAACAGAGTATTCTGTCCCATATACTTGTTTGTAACATCGATACATTCTCAATTTATTAAGCCCATTTCGCCCCTCTTCCTTTCTTAACATATCGCTCCAACGGGTAACATATTCATTTTTACACCATTGTTCCACCTGTGTACAAACAGAAAATTTATCAATAAAACCTGTAGCGTTTAATATACATGATATATGTCCTAAATCTGAGCTGTTGTGAAAGAAATAAGCTCCATCATCTGTTTAGAAAAGCCCTTCTTTATAAATGAAATTAGAATATGATATGTGTGATATGTCATGTGTAGTGCTGTGTTGGTGCTGAAGATCAGTGTGTATACAATTAATGTGAGACAACTCTATCATGTTTATGGAGAATGACTTAAAGTGCGTATTCTCAAATTCCATTACATCAACATCACCAACACATCTTGACTATGGCTCTACCATTGTCTACTCCATGATCTACTTTCACTTCATAAGACTTTGACTTCCTGTCTGTAGAACGTTTGCAATGTGTTCAAGCTATCTCTTCAGCGTTAGAAATTGGCACGAGTCCTGTAGCCCTTGCCAATCTGGCCAATAGTTAAGGCATCATAAGGACTAGTAGAAATTTGCCCTTTTTAAGGGTTTTGCTATTATGTTATCATTATAAGGACTAGTGGACTAAAACTGTTAGTTTCTACCGCTGCTCTTAATTATATTGTGTTGAAAAGATTTGTATATGGGGTAAATTATCATGATAATGGTGTGGGTATAATTATTATGATTGAGATGGATCTTCACTGATCTCTGAATTCGAACATACAACCTTCTGAATATATTAGAATCGTCCAATGCCATATCATCCATCATGACACTACCTGTATTACCAAGGCTAAAAAACATAATAGTCTTGGTTCTCAGGCACCACCTGCATTATTATGCCGCATGTTTTGTTTTTATTTCCATACACAACGTTAACACAATGCACAAAAAAAAATTGAAAATGGAAACAAAACAAAACATGCAAAGAACTTTATGATGATGTGGGCAGTGCCTGAGAACCAAGACTTTTTTCTGCATCTGCTATCAAAACATCTAAATTAAAAACACAGTAAGTTTGTCTTCAATATTATATGCATCTTGCCATTTTTAAGTATAATTATTACAGTATAATTTTGAAATTTAAGGTTATTCATATGAATCTTTTGGTTCTTTTAGTAAGTTTAGATCAACTTGGTAATAAATCCTGTTTCCTTTATTTCAGCATGATGCTCAGTTAGATTACTACGGCATCAGGCTAGCCACATGTTCATCAGACAGATCAATCAAAATATTTGATGTAAGAAATAATCAACAGACTTTAGTCTCGGACCTGCGAGGGTGAGTATACCACGCACACAGACACACATAGATATATATATATATATATATATGAACCTGTATGACCACCTATGCTGGATGAAATGGATCATGTAGTCAGACTCAGTGTTATGTATGATGCCGTGTCATCACACCCCAACAGCATGGATTGTTCCTCACAATATCAGTCGAAACTCGTATCCCAATTGCGTAGATCGATGCTCAATATGTCAATCACTGGATTGTCTGGACCAGACTCAATTATGTTAAACAACAAGCAAGTTGTGTCATATTGACACTTATCAAGCCATGGTTACCACAAAACTGTTTACGTGAACGATCTACTGCTTTTGTTGGAGGTTATTTCCCTTTGTTCCCTTCTGCCTTGAGGTTGTCGTAAAAGGCGACTAACAGGATCGGGTGGTCAGGCTCGCTGACTTGGTGGATGCATGTCATCGTATCCCAATTGTGTGGATCGATGTTCATGATGTCAATCACTGGATTGTCTGGTCCAGACTCGAGTATTTACAGACCGCCATCATATAGCTGGAATATTGCTGAGTGAGGTATTAAACAACAAACAAACCCTTGAGGTAGCCTGTTTTGTATGGGGGCATGGGTGGCCCAGTCGTCTAAGGCGCCGCGATTCGCTGTGCAGAGTTGCGTCCCTTGGGCACGCCAGAAACCTATGATTGTGGGTTCGAATCCCAGTTCGCCCCGATTATGTTTCTAGGTTTGTCAACACCATACCCGTGCTCGTGGGTTTCCCCGAAGTGGTAAACGTCTGAGACCTGCATCACTTGGGGCTTTCCTCCCGCATTAAGCTGACATGCCGAAATATAACTGGAATAATGTTAAAAGTGGCGTTAAACCAAACTCACTCACTCACTCACTGTTTTGTATGTTGCTCCTGTTTCAACCTTCTTGAATATGAAGCCTCTGTGTTGCAGCCATGAAGGGCCGGTGTGGCAGGTGGCATGGGCGCACCCCATGTTCGGCAACCTCCTCGCCAGCTGTGGCTATGACCGGAAGGTCATCATCTGGAAGGAGACCAATGGCACGTGGGGCAAGCTGTACGAATACACCAACCACGACTCGTCAGGTCAGCCACCGTCTTGGTTTTTGTCATGATCAAGACTAAACTTTGACTCCCATTTTCTGTGACTCTTCTTTAAACTAACATAGCTGAGTGCATGAGGGGCACACTGTTGGTCTAAAACTCCACAAGTTGTCTACCTCAGCTGCACCAGGATCCTCTGATTGTGGTTTTAAATCTCAGATTTTTTCTGATCTTGATACATGTGGGTTTCATCAAAATGGCCAACACATGAAATGTTTATCTTTTGATCTTTCCACCCACATGAACACGCCATGGTTTTACTGAAATAGTGTGCAAAGCCCATCGCCTTAAAATCTGATGTTAGTTCTCGCTACCGCGGAACAAATATCTAGGGACATCCCATTACGGGTCACACCTGAATGACCTTTTGTCCGACCAATCAGAGCATCGCTGACCAGATCTGGATAGTGGCATATTTTGTAATGCTCATTCATATGTACGTTATCCTTACTCAGTATCCCAACTTGTAAATGCCTCTCAAAGAAGGTAAATACAAAGTCTGCAATAGATCATGCCTGATGGTAAGTGGGATGAGGTGTTGGGTGGAATGTGGCAGCATGCCATTTGTCAGCCATCGCCTTCACTGACGAATAATAGGTTTTCTGGGTTGATGTTTCAGTTAACTCAGTGTGTTTTGCTCCCCACGAGTTCGGCCTGATGTTGGTGTGTGGCAGCTCCGATGGGTCCATCTCGGTCATCTCCAGCACAGGTAACTAGGTCATGTCAGTCAGCATGTCGTCATCTTGTTGGTCAGACTAGGATGAGAGAGACAAGATAGACTGTCTGTGTCAGTATTTCCGAGGTTAATTTGTCATATCACCATGGCATGGTGGGTAGCCTAGTGGTTTAAGTGTTCGCTCGTCACACCGAAGACCCGGGTTCGATTTCCCACATTGATACAATGTGTGAAGCCCATTTCTGGTGTCCCCTGCCGTGATATTGCTGGAATATATCTAATATCTCACTCAGTGTTAGACCTATCGTGTAAGATAAAATATACTGCAGTTTTTACGTACTGATGTTGTTATCTTCATTAAATGCCATACATTTTGTCATGTAAAGTCAAACAGCTGGTTCGTACAGCTGGTGTGATGTCATGGGGGAGATAATTTGTCAGAAGCAACATTCAAATTACCTCCCTTGCAGTTAGGTTCAATTTGTTAAGCAAGGAGTACCGTATTCGATGTAATAAGCGCCCAGGGCGCTCTCAAAATTAGAAAAAGGGGGCTCTTACTTTGGTGAAAAAAACAGAGTTGAAAGATAAATTTCGTGGTTTATGCTGACAGCCTGAAATGATTATGTACGACAGATATATTTTTCTAGAATTTTATTGCCCATAATTAAGGGTGCATATAACACACGAGTGCGTATTGTAAGCAAATAAATAAGTCTCGTGAACATTGAACAATTGGAAGAGGTGCTAATTGGGATTGTTCACGAGCCAATATATTAGCAAATACCGCCGGTGGGCGCTTATTAGAGCAGGGCCCTTATTACGTCGAATACGGTAACGGTTCTTGACAAAGAACATTTGTATATTTCTTGGTGGAACAAGAAACTGTTTCAATGATAGATTTGGAAATTATTGCTTGGCAAATGTGATACCCCAATGTTTTCTTCCCATCCACCATGTCTGCACTCTTGGTTAACTTGGGTGTAACTGAAACTGGGTATTCTGTTTCAAATGCAAAATACTACCAGCGTTTGTGGAAACAGAAGATGGAGTGTGGTGCAATGATTGAGCAATGAATTCATCTGTATTTATGGCACTATCATGATTTAAAAAAATCCCTTTCAGGTGACGGAGCTTGGGACTCTAAGAAAATCAATAATGCACATACGGTAAGTTGTTTATATTGATGTTCAGTCCTCGCTGTCATGTTCTGTTATTTGCACATAACGCAAGTTCCCATCTTAAAAAAACCTGCTGCAGTTCAAAGCTGCTTCTATTTGGCATGTGTTGTTGTTACCATGACAATAAAAACAAACATTTTGGAAATGATTTTTGACATCTATGTCATGAGCATGAGTTCATTTCAGTGTCTTCTGCATGCATTACATCTGCTTAGACCCGTGAAGATCCGGGATAGAAAAGTTAAGCAACCATAGCTTGCCGTAAAAGGCGACTTTGCTTGTCGTAAGAGGCGACTAACAGGATTAGGTGGTCAGGCTCACTGACTTGGTTGATGCATGTCATCGATCCCGATTACGTGGACAGATGCTCATGATGTCAATCACTGGATTGGCCCAGAATTGATTAGTTACAGACCGCCGTCGTATAGCTGGAATATTGCCAAGTGTGGCATTAAACAACAAACAAACAACAAAAACATCTGCTTGATAGAAGAATCAAGAATAACTCATCACAGTAAACTATCAGTTTGGTCGAAAGTTTGTTCTACCATTGTTAAAGTTGTGCGTTGTTTACAGAGCACTTTTGTTACCAGCTGATGTGGTCCTTCAGGACTTGTTCCCTCACTGAAACCAGGGACTGAAACATTCCCTGTCATGTGATATATGGAAAGTGGAAAGTTAATGCTGTTGTATCCAGTTGCTTGTGTATTTTACTGTGATATCTGTACACTACTGTTATTTATGTGCATTTCTACTTAGATTGGCTGTAATGCTGTGAGTTGGGCTCCAGCCACAGCCCCCAATGCATTGTTTGAGCAAGGAGCTCGTCAACAAGCGGTGAAGAGATTTGTATCTGGGGGATGTGACAACCTGGTCAAGTTGTGGAGGTGAGGATGATTGAATTCTGGAAATTCTGGTACTGTAGGGGTTAAAAAATGTCATATCTTGATGAAATCGTATATGGAATTAGTTTGATGAATCGTATGTGGAATTAGTTTCATGAAATCGTATGTAGAACTTGCTTGATGAAATCGTATGTAGAACTAGCTTGATGAAAATGTATGTGGAACTGATCGCCAGGACGCACTAACTCAACATTATTAAACACCACCACGATAAGAATACCATTATGGACACCTTGAAAAAGACCTCTGCCACCCTTTGACTGGCAATATGTCCTAGTTGTTATGGTGACTAGGAGGGTTGTTGCTGTCACTGTCGACCACTTGTTTGCCTGGCACAGACCTAGTTATAACAGGCTGCTGTGTTGTACGTTGACTACTTGTGATTGCATCGTTCACTCCCTCAAATCAATCAAGAAGTTCGTGCCATTTTTAATGAAAATAAGTTAACTGGTTTGTTACTAAATAAATATGATACTATTAACGCAGGTTTTGGAATTAGGGGTGGAGGGTCCTTGATGTTTTCTCCTGCAGCACGTGGATTTAGGAATTCCCTCTATCATTAACTTTTAACATTGGACAAGGGACCCTTGACTTTCATGCTCAATTTTGAACTCTCTGCTTGTTATTCACTGTATTTGTTTCCATCACTGTTGTCGCAACTCCAGGTTACATATTTGGTATTTACATTTTTGTGTGGCAGAGAGGAAGATGGCCAGTGGGTAGAAGACCAGAAGCTGGAGGCCCATAGTGACTGGGTCCGGGACGTGGCCTGGGCGCCATCTATAGGCCTCCCCAAGAGCATCATAGCATCGTGTTCACAGGTAGGTGTTGCTTGGCCTCCCTAAGAGCCTCATAGCATTGCGTTCATGGGTAGGTGTTGCTAGGCCTCCCTAAGAGCATCATAGCATTGTGTTCACAGGTAGGTGTTGCTAGACCTCCCTAAGAGCATCATAGCATCGCGTTCACAGGTAGGTGTTGCTAGGCCTCCCTAAGAGCCTCATAGCATTGGGTTCATGGGTAGGTGTTGCTAGGCCTCCCTAAGAGCCTCATAGCATCATGTTCACAGGTAGGTGTTGCTAGGCCTCCCTAAGAGCTTCATAGCATTGCGTTCACAGGTAGGTGTTGCTAGGCCTCCCTAAGAGCCTCATAGCATTGCGTTCATGGGTAGGTGTTGCTAGGCCTCCCTAAGAGCCTCATAGCATTGCGTTCACAGGTAGGTGTTGCTAGGCCTCCCTTAGAGCCTCATAGCATTGCGTTCACGGGTAGGTGTTGCTAGGCCTCCCTTAGAGCATCATAGCATTGCGTTCACAGGTAGGTGTTGCTAGGCCTCCCCAAGAGCATCATAGCATTGCGTTCACAGGTAGGTGTTGCTAGGCCTCCCTTAGAGCATCATAGCATCGCGTTCACAGGTAGGTGTTGCTAGGCCTCCCCAAGAGCATCATAGCATTGTGTTCACAGGTAGCTGTTGCTAGGCCTCCCCAAGAGCATCATAGCATCGCGTTCACAGGTAGGTGTTGCTAGGCCCCCCTTAGAGCATCATAGCATTGTGTTCACAGGTAGCTGTTGCTACGCCTCCCTAAGAGCATCATAGCATCGCGTTCACAGGTAGGTGTTGCTAGGCCTCCCCAAGAGCATCATAGCATTGTGTTCACAGGTAGCTGTTGCTAGGCCTCCCCAAGAGCATCATAGCATCGCGTTCACAGGTAGGTGTTGCTAGGCCTCCCCAAGAGCATCATTGCATCGCGTTCACGGGTAGGTGTTGCTAGGTCCCCCTTAGAGCATCATAGTGTCGCGTTCACAGGAAGGTGTTGCTAGGCCTCCCCAAGAGCATCATAGCATTGTGTTCACAGGTAGCTGTTGCTAGACCTCCCTAAGAGTATCATAGCATCGCGTTCACAGGTAGCTGTTGCTAGACCTCTCTAAGAGCATCATAGCATCGCGTTCACAGGTAGCTGTTGCTAGACCTCCCTAAGAGCATCATAGCATCGCGTTCACAGGTAGGTGTTGCTAGGCCTCCCCAAGAGCATCATAGCATTGTGTTCACAGGTAGGTGTTGCTAGGCCTCCCCAAGAGCATCATAGCATCGCGTTCACGGGTAGGTGTTGCTAGGCCTCCCCAAGAGCATCATAGCATTGTGTTCACAGGTAGCTGTTGCTAGGCCTCCCCAAGAGCATCATAGCATTGTGTTCACAGGTAGGTCTTGGCCTCCCCAAGAGCATCATAGTGTGTTCATAGCTCAACAAAACTAGGCCACCCAAAGATATATTGTTTAACCTGGGCAATGCTTCAATATGTTCAGGGATAGAAATTAGCACTGATCACTGTTCATGCCAGTAGACTCTCAAGGTTTGTATCGTTACCACTGCTTATGTTCTCGTGGTGGCGGGATGTGTAGTTCTGTGGTCCAAGGTGCTGCAGTTCACTTGACTTTGCAATTCGGGAGGTCAGTTTGTATTAGGATAGAAATATATCTGTCTGTCTGTCTCATCTAAGATGTGGCAACTAACAGTTAGAATTTGTGTGATCCCTTGACCTTGCCCATCATTGTCCTGTTCTGTTCCAGGATTGTCGTGTGCTGATCTGGACGAATGACGGCACTAGCAACACATGGACATCAAAGATCTTGCACAAGTTTAACGATGTTGTCTGGCACGTCAGTTGGTCCACTACTGGGAACATCCTCGCCGTCTCAGGAGGAGATAACAAAGTAGGTCACAACTTTTAGTCAATAACATGCTATGATTCTGTTTTGTTTGTGTATGCCAGAACGATTTTGCACTGTGGCACAAGGAGCGGTGGGGTAGTCTAGTTGTTAAAGTGTTCGCTCGTCAAGTTGAAGACCCGGATTCGATTCCCCACATGGGTACATTGTGTGAAGCTCATTTCTGTTGTGACCCGTGAAGATTCCGGGGTAGAATAGGTGTTTAGCAACCCATGCTTGCCGTAAAAGGTGACTCTGCTTGTCGTAAAAGGCAACTAACGGGATCGGGGGGTCAGGCTCGCTGACTTGGTTGATGCATGTCATCGATCCCAATTGCGTAGATCGATGCTCATGATATTAATCCCTGGATTGTCTGGTCCAGACTCGATTATTTACAGACTGCCGTCATATAGCTGGAATATTGCTGAGTGCGGCGTTAAACAACAAAGCAACCAACCAACCATTTCTGTTGTCTGACGCCATGATATTGCTGGGAAGTTTGCTAAATATAGCGTAAAGCCATACTCGCTCACTCATGCACTGTGGTACAAAACAACAGTGAATCATTTCCCTCCATGGGTACAATGGGTTTTATACTTACTCTGCTGTCCCCTGTTGTGATATTACTGGAATATTATTATCAAAGGGGCGATATTCTGCATGAACTTATTCAATCTTGCTGATTACATATCTGCTTGAGAAAGACCACGAGCTACAATATGATGGTACCCGTGAAGATCTGGGTCAAAATTGGTCTTCGATATCACATTCATGTCATAATATCGGATGGTCAGGCTCGCTGACTTGTTTGAGTTATGTCATCATATGACAATTGTGTAGATCGATGATCATGATGTCAGTCACTGGATTGTCTGGTCCAAGCTCAATTATTTACAGACTGCCGTCATTTAGCTGGAATATTGCTGATTGCAGGGTTAAACAAACAAAACACCCATAATGATGGAGTACTAACCGTGTCTCTCACTCACTCACTCACTGTTTATCTTGTTGCAGGTGAGTTTATGGAAGGAGTCACTGGAGGGCGAGTGGGTGTGTATCAGTGATGTCAACCAAGGTCAAGGCCAGATAGGCGATGGTCAACGACCTTCATCGGGCTAGATTATTGTGATCATGTGACTTGTGTGTTTGTGGACAGTGGTGCTCTGTGACGAGAATTCTCTCATCATCCTTCTCGACTGGAGACTGTCAGACTTTCATTTCACATAAATTTGTTGTTTTCTGTTGCTGGTGGATGAAGACGTGGATGAATGCAACTGGAACTCAGTTGGTCTTTACATAAGATACCAAACAACTTCATGAACTCATCATGTGATATTAATTGATTGCGAATTGAAATAACCTTGAGACTGAAAGCAGTTGATCTGGAAACTGGACAAAAATATGTAAACAGTTTATTTCCCCCGTGTTGTGACACCATGAATGTATGTTGCTAATTTGGTTTTGTACACTAGTTCCAAAATAAAAATAAAGCCACACTCCAGGATTTTTCAAAAACTAATTGTTTTAGCCTAAAAAAATTGGTTTCCATGGAAACGTTTCTCTTATAACAATTTATCTGCCAGGTTGGATGTAAGTTGAACCTGTTGGATCATCAGGAGAATGTTACACTGATGCTGTCAGTGTTTGTATATAATCTGAATAAATAGTTGTAGTGTCAGACGTTTGTTCTGTCTTCATTAGGGCAGTGGTTGAAGTGGTCGCATGTTACACCTAATATCAGGGTTTGAGGCTCCACATGGATACATTGTGTGAATACTTTCATGGTGCCATAAAAGGTGACTCTGCTTGTCGTAAGAGGCGACAAAAGGGATCAGGTGGTCAGGCTCGCTGACTTGGTTGATACATGTCTTCGAATTCCAATTGCATGATACGATGCTCATGATGTCAATCACTGGATTTTCTGGTCCAGACTCAATTACTTACAGATTGCCGTCATATAGCTGGATTATTGCTGATTGCGGCGTTAAACAACAAACAAACAAACAAACAAACAAACAAAACTTTTCTTGGTGTTCCCGACAAGATCTGGGAGGTACCTTGTCATGACAATATAGACTCATACACTCTCAGGAAATGACAATTATTTGGAAACCTCATTGATCTGATGACATGTGCAACAAAATGGGGTCATAGTTGGAAGCTGAACTTGTTGGAAAACACACTGTCATTCAAGAATAAGATCTTTAGTTCTTGTTGATTGTCATTAAATACATTCACTTGCTCACTCGTGAGTTTCACACAGCTTTGAACATTGTTCCAGTTTTATCACGGCATGTCAGCCTAATGTGGGAGGAAAGTCTGAAGTATGCAGATCAGAGGTGCTTATGGAATCATCAAGCATCATGGTGTTGACAGACCAATGATCATTATCTGGGCAAAATAGGGATTTGAAACCATGAACATAGGATCATATAATTGTGGCCTCTTTGACAACTGGGCCACACAAACCCACCATTTATTGTGAAACGTTCGTTTCAAAATGCAGCAAAAGGCAACTGATGACATAAATCTTTTTTTTCAATATTAGTGTGGCACTTCATCCCTTAAGATCAAAACAAGACCAGTCATCAAGATTCCCATTTTACATTTGTCAGTTGATTTGCTGGCCTCATTCATAAATTGGGAAAAAAACATGCACAATTTGGTTGACTCCAAAAGTGCCACAGCACTTGACAAGGGAGACCTTGACCTTCTTTTCGAGGTCATGAGAAGCAACTTACAAAGTAGCCATGTGTTAACAAGATAGTTCATGATTTTTATTCAAATGCTCTTCAAACCTGTGTGGATTCTGGGTAAGAATGTAGGTCGCCATCAACCTACACATGTCATAGAGGCAACTAAGGGGATCCGGTGGTCGGACTCGGTAACATATCATATCCAAATTGCATGGATTGATGCTCATGATGTCAGTAACTAGATTGTCTGGTCCATACTCAATTATTTACTGTCATTTAGCTGGAATATTGCAGAGTGCAGACAATGAATTTTTTTTACCATTTTGCTGTTACTTTGTGAAATATCTCAGGATGTTTGTCATAGATTATATATAATAATATATTATATGTAACAGAAAGGTCATGTGGGAGAATTTACAGGTTCCACGGTGGGGTAGCCTAGTGGTTAAAGTGTTTGCTCGTCAGGCTGAAGACCCGGGTTTGATTCCCCCTCATGGGTACAATGTGTGAAGCCCATTTCTGGTGTTCCCCACCGGTATTGCTAAAAACGGCGTAAAACCATACTCACTCACTCCACTTATTTACAGTGACCTTTGACCTTGACTTGATTTTCAAGGCCTTGTGTGTCCTGCCTTTGAATGTATGGCCTCCCTTTCTCAAGAAGCAACCTGTAGGTTTCCCTCTTCATTCACAGATAGTTGACACAGGCATGAGAACCCTTTCTATCCAATTCTTGGAGAAAGAGCATTGTAGGCACTAAGCTGGTGCCTCCTCTGCAGCCACTCCTGGTACCAGTCCTTGCCTACCAACACCTTCTCAACATGACAGCAATATTCCAGCTATATGACAACAGCCCATGAAACATTTAGCCTGGACCAGACAGACCACTGATTGACATCTTGTCAGCTCTTAGGACAAGGTAGCTGGGGACCAACTCTATCCTGGCCTATCAAACAAGTGCATTGTAGAAACAGACACAACAACTGGTTTCGACTGTGGAATGCTATTTATTTAATCTGCAAGTTGAAAACAAGTTATTGCACATTAGGTATAGTTAGTTTGCATATTGATAAATAGTGAACAGGAAGTAAATGAACTCAACAATAAGCATGCCTTGAGAAGGGAAAGTGTAGGGTTCTGAATGTGTAGCTACTGGGGGTGGCATCGTTTGAGCGGGGTTACTGTCTAAATCACATCGCTGCCTAGTACCAGCACCAAGACTCTTCCCCCCATCAGTGGAGTCCCTGGAGTGTCCAGACGAAGAGCCCTGGCTACCTAGTAACAGAACCAAGGCTCTCATCCATCAGTGTGGAGTCCCTGGAATGACCAGACGAAGAGCCCTGGCTACCTAATATCTACATGTAACATATAGGATGACACAGAGAAAGACAAGATATCGTAGCGTGAAGTATTGAGTTACACTATACTGTGCATGACACATCACCTACATTACTATTCCTATATAGTCTCAAGACTACTAGAAGTTTAGAAAATAGAATAATTTCAAACAGTGTGTTGAGAGTACCAAACCTATATAGAAACTCTTGTTCAGAAATTGACTTGATAAGATGGTACATGTTTGAAGTTTTCTCTCCAAAAGTTCTCTCATACTGACAGATCATGGCCAACATCATCATATCAGATAAACAAAACATTGAGCATTTTGATATTTGTTTAGTCTTTGATTAGTCAACGAACCGATAATCACACAAAAGATAATTCAGAGCAGAGAGTAGTATAGACACTGATACCAGTTACACATTAGGTTCTTGTTAGATTTAACATGTTTAATTTGAGCAACCGATTCCTTTCATACGTTAAAAAAATAAACACAAAGAATAGATTAAAATTAATATTGATACAAAGGTCAACCGAACGGAAAAATAAAGTCATAAATGTTATGGAAATAACGGTTATATCTTTCAAATTTACAAGGAAGTATTTTCCTGTCTAAGACTCACTGCATAAGGCAATGCTAAGTGGTGACTGATTTCCTCTTCCCCATCGGTATACATATATATTGAGATGTAGTAACAGATCTGAATAATGCAATATATTAGAAAATGTATGTATAATATACAAATATATTCAGCCATAGAGTCAAACTTTCAAACACAATAGTGTCAATACATAAACATTTCTGTAACTAGTAAAATCCTAGATATTTTTTATATTTGTATACTTATCCTTCATTACTCCTTAATGCATATTACTGCTTGTTCTTGACAGAAAAGAGTTGTGTGAAGGTCTTTGCTTGAAGAAGTTGTTCCAACTAGCTGAGAGGCCAACCCTATCACGCAGCTCCCACGTGACCAAAGGAAGTGACGTCACGGATCCTTACATTACTATGGAGTCCGGGCTTCGTGGGGAGGTAGATCTGCGATGGGTGGGTCCCTTTAGACGCAGTAATGCAGGATAATTATACAAATATAAAAAATATCTAGGATTTTACTAGATTTTTTACTTATCCTGCATTACTCCTTAATGCATCTTTATCGGACGGAACCGGAGGCGGGTGAACCTTCAGATGTGGACTTTCATCTTTTATTTCCAGACTCTGTTCCCTAGCCAATCCTAGGCTGTGTGGTCGGCTTCGGGTGACCATTCCATGTATGGGAACTTCCAATTCCCTCAGCCCGCCCTCGGCTGTGTAGTCGGCATCAGGTTACCACTCCATGTATGGGAAACTGCGCAGCCTGACAATAACTCTCGGTTAGGTCAAGACTGGAGTACCGAGCTGTATGTAAGTGGGGTATGAACCTTCTAGTCCAGGGCTTACGCCAGGGGAGGTCGAAAAGCCGGCTCTGGACTTGGAGGCGAGGTCAGTGACGTGTAGTAGAGGAGCCTGTTTGGCACTAGTGACGGACCGAGTTATGTGTGCCTAGCACATCCTCCAATGCGACATCTTGCATATGTCGACTGGCGACGAATGTGTTTGATCGCCAGAACACCTCTCCATGATGGCAAGTAGAGCTCAGTTGCTGTGTAGCCCCATAGTGGAGGCGATCGCCCGGGTCTCATGTGGGTTGTTAGAGCCTGGGGGTCCAATCCCGTGGCCTCATAGGCCTGGAGAATAAAGGCTCGGGATTTACGTCACGCGCCGATCCTCCGGAACTGCCCTTGAGTTTACGCTTGTGACCCAGATGGAGCATGAACTCGGCCAGGAAATGAGGTGATGCAGATTTGGGGTCTTGTTGCTTGCCCCTGCAAAAGCTCTCGAAGGATTGCCACTAATCATTACAGAGGCTCCTGGTGGTTGGGCGATATGCCATCTTGATGGCCCAAGCTGCTCTGGCCGAGTAGCCTTTGGCGTTCAGTGCCAATCTGGAAATGGCAGTGGGTCGGGCCATAGGCAGGGTGCCTGTTGGGCGCCATGCGTCTGTCTGGTTGACTGGATAGGCGCTGTTAAGATAGACGCAGTAGTGGTCGTCAGGGAGCTCTGGGTAGAAACTGAGACCAGGGGCCCGACATCATGGTAGTAATTGAGGTCAGGGAGTTGTCGTCTGAGATAGCCGATCTGGCTGTGGGCAATTACTCGGATAAGTCAGACATCTGGCGCCGGTGTTTTCCTGGCCTGTTGCGTTCTCCGTTTCCTGGACATACGGAGGTACCGTCTGAAAGCTGTGGGGAAAGCGGAGACATTCTGTACATCTATGACCCTGGGGACATTTAGATGTACAATAAAGGCACAGGGGGTGGGGATCCCACGCCGACATATTACGCCGGCACTTTGAGCATGAGGGCATGATATCTGCAATGAAGCAGTGTAAAATCACAATGCGTCCCCTCCCGATGATGTATGCTATAATTTGTGGGTAATCCCACTGCATGGGTTTATGAAACAATTATTACGACAAACGTAAGACAACATACAAAACGAAGACAAAATACTTGTGAGGGTATGCCAATGGAGGGGTACAAAGCAAGAAGAATATAGAACGCAAGCCAGTTAATAACTGGCCATGTAAAATATTCAAGATGGCTACTTGAAACAACAAGACACCTGGGTTTATCATTGTTTTCTTTCTTAAGAAAACGCCAGCAGGTGTACAAAAGTTATGCACATGTTAAAACATACAATGTTTCACAAGATACAAACCGTGTGCACAACACAAGCACATTGAACATTAACCCAAGAAGCAAAACATGTAAGGGTTTGAACAAGTTTATGCTACAGATCAAAAACGGGTCTTCTTTCAGCAAGTGACGAGAGTAATGTGAGGATCCGTGACGTCACTTCCTTTGGTCACGTGGGAGCTGCGTGATAGGGTTGGCCTCTCAGCTAGTTGGAACAACTTCTTCAAGCAGAGACCTTCACACAACTCTTTTCTCTGTCAAGAACAAGCAGTAATATGCATTAAGGAGTAATGCAGGATAAGTAAAAAATATAAAAAGTACAAAAATAATCACAAACCATGGAAAGAATAATACTTAATAATAAAACTGGATTTCTCGTAAACACAATAAACTTGTATAAAAAATCTACAATTATCCAACAGAAACAATGAGACAGTTGGGGCGAGTTAGAGCGACAGTACCTCATCTATAAACCGAACAACGGCTGGACACAAGGTCTAATGGTTTGACGACTCACTACCTTGTAATTGTCTGAACTAATCACTGTACTGAATAGCTGGTTAACTGTCGCCTTATCTAACATAGCTTTATACTACAATCGCAGTTGTCAATAAGATTGCATGGCTACAATAAATTGTAACAATATTGGATAAATATCCAGAAATATTACAAATCTATAACAGTACAATAGGCTATTGAGTTATACTGATTAACAAGTCAATATGCACCAACAAGGTCTTCATAGAGAAGGTTGAAGAGATATATGGGTAATTAAATAATTTGTTACTGGGATAGTATATTTGTGGGTATACTAACAGCGAGTCCCCTACCAAGAGCAACTCGTCCCGAGATTCTGGCTCTACTATATACAAAGACTGAGTCTACACTGATGGTCGGGTGGTGACTATCTACACTATGTCATTACACTAGGAAATATACAATAATCTACAAATCTTACATAAGTTACATATCATATCTAGGGGCAACATGGTAACAGTAACAGGTGAATGCCTCCAGCTTTGCTAGCTAATCCGGAAGAACCTACCATATTCGCCATATTAAGCGCCCCGCCTCAATTATCACCCCCTGACCACTTTCCAGACCCAAATGCAAGAAATCTTATAAGGGCCATGTACAAAGCCCATTGTTAACATGAGTCCGTATTTTCTTGTGTATAATACACATTTTTTACAGCAAATACATCCGTGTAGAAAGGGGTGCATATTATACATGGAGACATTGAGCTTGGACTTTCTAATGCCCACGTGAACACAATACCGCCGACATGTTAACACCGGAAACAGTAACAAACTCGTGAATGGTGTTAATAAACACTTTGTTTGTCAATTAAGCACCTGGGATGCTAAATATGGCGAATATGGTATACAGCGTTGATGATGTGTGAATATCTAGAATTTCTACCAGACTATTCTCTTCACAGACATATATCAAGAAAATTGTATGAGTTACACTCTGAATATCTGACAGCCAAACTGCTGTGAGTGAGCCCATGGATTAATTATACATAAGACTTTCAGCAGCAGCATCACTCATGGATGACCATAAACTCCATCAATTTTCACCATTATGATGATGCATTTCTGAAGTCTTTGATATTTTTATTAGACATTAGAAGTTATCACATTATGTAAATACTTAGTAATTTATGCTAACGGGATGGCTCGTCATGGGAATATCAAAAACATAATTGATGAAGACTGAACTATCTGCTTCTCTTCAGGATCAATCAGGCTCCTCTTGTTACAGGTGCAACTTAGGTATGGATTTAATCAATGCATATTACACTTGTCCAAACTAATTCAAGAAACTAAGACTAAAAATGGTTTGCAGTCGAGAAACTTACACTAAAAACTGTTCCCAGTAAAGAAACTAAAAGTAAACACAGTTACCAGTCAAGAAACTAAGACGGTTCCCAGTCTAGATGCTGAGACAGTTTCCAGTCAAGAAACTAAGATGGTTCCCAGTCTAGAAGCTGAGACAGTTCCCAGTCAAGAAACTAAGATGGTTCCCAGTTTAGAAGCTGAGACAGTTTCCAGACAAGAAACTAAGATGGTTCCAAGTCTAGAAGCTGAGACAGTTCCCAGTCAAGAAACTAAGATGGTTCCAAGTCTAGAAGCTGAGACAGTTCCCAGTCAAGAAACTAAGATGGTTCCAAGTCTAGAAGCTGAGACAGTTCCCAGTCAAGAAACTAAGATGGTTCCAAGTCTAGAAGCTGAGACAGTTAACAGTCAAGAAACTAAGATGGTTCCCAGTTAAGAAGCTGAGACAGTTCCCAATCAAGAAACTAAGATGGTTCCAAGTCTAGATGCTGAGACAGTTTCCAGATAAGAAACTAAGACGGATCCCAGTCAAGAAACTAAGACGGATCCCAGTCAAGAAACTAAGACGGTTCCTTGTTTTCCAGGTGTTGCTCATTTTCCACAGGATTTGTGACAGATCTGACAGGCATGGACATGAAGGGGGCCTGTGATCTGTGAGGATGGAATTAGATGCCAATGTGTTAGACATGCAGGTCAAAGTGTGTTGGGCAGAAAAGCAGGAAGCAATGCCTTAAAGGTACATCACCAGTTTGAAGATGGCTGGTTAGACATACACCATACTCACTGGCTCCAGATACGACATACAAGCTTAATCCACACATGAAACAGAACAAGTAATAGGGATGGATAACATCGGATTCATACTGATGTCTACGGCAACTTGATAAATGTATGTATTTTACCATTTGGGAACAATAATGTGTGAGCAGTATGCACAGTGTCTGTGACAGAGTCATGGAGTGAGGGCGTGAGGGAGTTGGGTTTAATGCCAATTTGAACAGTATTTTTAGTTATATTGTGGTGTGGCAGCTTGAGGTGGGAGGAAAACCCAAAGTGATGCAGGTCTGAGATGTTTTCCACTTTGGTGAAGCATGGGTATGGTGCTGACAAATGTCTGTGATACTTGCAATACAGCGCCAATATGTCAACTGACAGGACAAGGCACATTCTGCCTCCACTAGGCACCACAAGGCAGGTGGTGTCTCTGTACTTACTTGCATGTTAGGTCTCACTTGTTATATTTCATGGCTTATTGTGTTTTTGCTGACATATAAGACCAATCACTTCTCATTCATGGGAAACATTCGATGTTTGTCACAGACAGGATATTTTGCAATCACTGCTTCAAAACAAACATGTAAGAGGGCTGGTGATGTGGGAGGGAGGTTAGAGGGCTGGTGATGTAGGAGGGAGGTTAGAGGGCTGGTGATGTGGGATGGAGTTTGGGCTGGTGATGTGGGAGGGAGTTTAGAGGGCTGGTGATGTGGGAGGGAGGTTAGAGGGCTGGTGATGGAGGGAGTTTAGAGGGCTGGTGATGTGGGAGGGAGGTTAGAGGGCTGGTGATGTGGGAGGGAGTTTAGAGGGCTGGTGATGTGGGAGGGAGTTTAGAGGGCTGGTGATGTGGGAGGGAGTTTAGAGGGCTGGTGATGTGGGAGGGAGGTTAGAGGGCTGGAGATGTGGGGGGGAGTTTAGAGGGCTGGTGATGTGGGATGGAGGTTAGAGGGCTGGAGATGTGGGAGGGAGTTTAGAGGGCTGGTGATGTGGGATGGAGTTTGGGCTGGAGATGTGGGAGGGAGCTTAGAGGGCTGGTGATGTGCCTTTAACTAACTATACCTAGGCTAATGAGCGAGCGCCAGGTGACTACAACAGGTAGGGCTACCAGCACTGGGCGTGACATCAGTCAACAACACATGGTTCAGACAGTTCAACAAACATTTCGTACTGCATAACTCATCATCTACAATACTAAAGTGGTTGCATATTTTAAATGAATACTCTTTAATAACCAGTGTAAACCTATGCACAGTTTAACACAATATAATATCAGTTGTTTCCATTGATATCTCTGGCAAAAATAAAACAAGTACAAAACTCAAATTAATAACTATCCCCACAAACCAGAGCATTTCAATTAAACAACATACCGGGGTAATGTCTCACCTTTCACAAATCAAACACAAAACACTTTATTTCTCATACATGTGGTTGCTACTTCCATTTCCACATAATGTACACCATATTGTTTCACTGAAACCCAGTGGGATGAGGGGTTTTCTCTAGAATAATCTACCGAGCAGGTGCTTGCTCTTCATGCAACCACATTATCAAGTATAAATAACTGTTTCTATTTACAAAAAAGACTTTCCACTCAATCTCTATAGAATAAATAATGTAAATTGTACAATTGACAACTGTATAAGGTTATCACGAAGGAACAGAAAATATTGCACAATTCTCACAATCATTGAAAATCTTGAAACTTTAGAAGATAAAATTTTCAGTAAATCAACATAGTGTATTGAATCCTGAGGCAACAACCTTGTGTGAACATGACTCCACTAGTACCACACAATGTCAACACTCACCATCTTGTTGGATACAGGATAGCACACTTGAGGGTACCACAGTACTCTTTATTTCCAGATTCCCTTAGGTAATGAATATATACTAGGATTAATGTCCAGTTACATTAATGAATGGAATGGTTTACAAGATATTCACATCATGGAATTAAACTTATCTTGTAGCAAATGTTTAAGAGGGTGCCAAGTTTTATTTTCGTGTTTGTCATTGCTGATTAGGATTTCAACTTGTAACTCAAACAGATACACAATGCCTAATTTCTTTCATTACAAATCCTCATTGCAAAAACATACTACTTTATTAAAAAATCCACACACTCAACAATACAGAGTTTTCTCCCTTTAAAAAGGTGCCATGTATGTAACGAGTGTGTATGGTTTTAGCATTACTCCCATGCTGGGAACAAAGACTGGACTATCCCACAGATTTTCTGTGTGAAGAAAAATTTGTAATAATGCAAAAAGGTTCTTTTGAAAGATTTTCTGAAGTTATACGGTTTCAGCAAACAGAGGGCAAACCTGAAAACTATAGCCCCACAAGGAGTGTGGTCCAGGGTGCATGTCGACAGAGGTGTCATGGAGAACTACTAGCTTGTACAATAGAAGAATTTAGGGATCACATGTATCACATTTTCACTCAAGAACACACAAAACACAACAAGTTTAAGGTTTAACCTCAGTTGACAAGGAACTATCATAAAACAGTCAACAAAACATCATAAAAATGCATGGCATGTAACAAAACATTTCCCCAAACAAAGTTGTATATCACTTGGAATGATTATGTTCTATGTAACAACGGAATGGATGCTGGTGCAGTCCGACCCAACTGCGGCGGGAGTAGATCCACACACATCACTACAACTCACGACACAAGAATTCAGGTACAAAACTGTCCTAGAAAGGCCTACAATTCACTTCAGTATACACTCATAATCACTGAAACTATTAAAAAATGACTCTACCAACACAATGGTCTTAAGATGGTAAACAGTTTGTCAATATTACAAATATGTATCTGTGTTCTTCTTGACGGCTAACTGTGGGACTCTTAATGCCTAACTGTGGCTCTTAATTCCTAACTGTGTGGCTCTTAATTCCTAACTGTGTGGCTCTTAATGCCTAAATGTGTGACTCTTAACGCCTAACTGTGTGACTCTTAACGCCTAACTGTGTGACTCTTAATGCCTAACTGCATGACTTTAAATTCCTAACAGTGAGACTCTCTTTTATGTGCCTGTGCATGATGAATGACTACATTACTGTGTGAAGAAGGCATTTTGTTCTTAAGCTCTTACCTAGATTCTGAATAACTGAGTCTTCACACAGGTTCTGCTGTACATGATGACCAGTTGATATCTATGGGAATATCAGTACCCTTTCAATGATGTGGTGGCAACACTGCATTTCCAGCCCAATGTAAGGTAGCTGACTTCTAATGAGTGACTTTAACTGTGGTGTAGCCTGAAGGAGCTAGTCTAACTTGGACAGGACAGCTGATGGAACGCTTTCGCTAAACATTGGATGGAACACTACGACTAAATAGCCAATGGAATGCTTTGCCTTACTAACAGCTGATGGAACGTTATGACTTTACAGCTGATGGAACATTATGGCTTAACAGCTGATGGAACGTTATGGCTTAACAGCTGATGGAACCTAATGGCTTAACAGCTGATGGAACCTAATGGCTTAACAGCTGATGGAACCTAATGGCTTAAAGGTAGATGGAATGTAATGACAATACATTGTAATATGAAAAGTTGACATTTTTAACAGCCTTGTTCTAATACAAACTTATGAGATTTGATACACTTGTGACTTGACGATAATCTACTGAATGAGATCATATTCCACACACCTTCAGAAGAAAGCACTCAATGGATTGGATTAATGTTATGTGTTTGAGGAGATGATAGCAATTTTGACTACATTAATGCTGAGAGCCGTTAGCATGGTCTGACTAATAGCAAGGACGAATCTACTGCATGACTTTCTTCATCCACCTATTGGACCTTTGTGGCTTGGTCTGTCCAACACTGTGGTGAAGGATGTGTCTGCAGACAGTGCTGGCTGGTGAACATGTCTGCAGACATTCCGTCTCAGTTCCATACTGACACATTGCAATAAACTGACACCATATTATCTTTAAGGACAACTTTGTCCATGTCGGGGGACGCTGCCCAGCCTGAATGTCAGGCCGACCCAAGATCAGAGACCGGCAGCTCTACAGCGTCTAGTCTGACTCATCTCCGCTGTCGTTGTGCACCTTCCCCAGGAATGTTGTGCGACTGCTGCTTTCTGATTGTGTCACTGATTGGGTGGCCTCCTCAACCTATACAATAAAATACACAGTCAGCAACCTTGATAAAAAATCTAGCAGTCTGATTATAGTATTAATAAATTTGTTACAAGTTATGTTGTCGCAGTCAGCTATATTACAATCTATCACGACAAAATGTAAATCATCAAGTCTGGACCAGGGACCCATTTGACACAGAATCCCCACAAGGAGACAAGTATGCGCCACTTGAGGCCTGTTCTTACACAGAATCCCCACAGGGAGACAAGCATGTGCCACTGGAGGCCTGTTCTGACACAGAATCCCAACAGGGAGACAAGCATGTGCCACTGGAGGCCTGTTCTGACACAGAATCCCCACAGGGAGACAAGCATGTGCCACTGGAGGCCTGTTCTGACACAGAATACCCACAGGGAGACAAGCATGTGCCACTGGAGGCCTGTTCTGACACAGAATCCCCACAGGGAGACAAGCATGTGCCACTGGAGGCCTGTTCTTACACAGAATCCCCACAGGGAGACAAGCATGTGCCACTGGAGGCCTGTTCTGACACAGAATCCCCACAGGGAGACAAGCATGTGCCACTGGAGGCCTGTTCTGACACAGAATCCCCACAGGGAGACAAGCATGTGCCACTGGAGGCCTGTTCTTACACAGAATCCCCACAGGGAGACAAGCATGTGCCACTGGAGGCCTGTTCTTACACAGAATCCCCACAGGGAGACAAGCATGTGCCACTGGAGGCCTGTTCTGACACAGAATCCCCACAGGGAGACAAGTATGTGCCACTGGAGGCCTGTTTTGACACAGAATCCCCACAGGGAGACAAGCATGGGCTACTGGAGGCCTGTTCTAACACAGAATCCCCACAGGGAGACAAGCATGTGCCACTGGAGGCCTGTTCTTACACAGAATCCCCACAGGGAGACAAGCATGTGCCACTGGAGGCCTGTTCTGACACAGAATCCCCACAGGGAGACAAGTATGTGCCACTGGAGGCCTGTTTTGACACAGAATCCCCACAGGGAGACAAGCATGGGCTACTGGAGGCCTGTTCTAACACAGAATCCCCAAAGGTTGACAAGCATGGGCTACTGGAGGCCTGTTCTGATACAGAATCCCCACAGGGAGACAAGCATGCGCCACTGGAGGCCTGTTCTGACACAGAATCCCCATTGGGAGACAAGCATGGGCTACTGGAGGCCTGTTCTGACATAGAATCCCCATAGGGAGACAAGCATGGGCTACTGGAGGCCTGTTCTGACACAGAATCCCCATAGGGAGACAAGCATGGGCTACTGGAGGCCTGTTCTGACACAGAATCCCCATAGGGAGACAAGCATGGGCTACTGGAGGCCTGTTCTGACACAGAATCCCCACAGGGAGACAAGCCTGCGCCACTGGAGGCCTGTTCTGACACAGAATCCCCATTGGGAGACAAGCATGGGCTACTGGAGGCCTGTTCTGACATAGAATCCCCATAGGGAGACAAGCATGGGCCACTGGAGGCCTGTTCTGACACAGAATCCCCATAGGGAGACAAGCATGGGCCACTGGAGGCCTGTTCTGACACAGAATCCCCACAGGGAGACAAGCATGGGCTACTGGAGGCCTGTTCTGACACAGAATCCCCATAGGGAGACAAGCATGGACTACTGGAGGCCTGTTCTGACACAGAATCCCCATAGGGAGACAAGTATGGGCTACTGGAGGCCTGTTCTGACACAGAATCCCCACAGGGAGACAAGTATGGGCTACTGGAGGCCTGTTCTGACACAGAATCCCCACAGGGAGACAAGCATGGGCTACTAGAGGCCTGTTCTGACACAGAATCCCCACAGGGAGACAAGCATGGGCTACTAGAGGCCTGTTCTAGCCTGGAGACAGCATTTGAGTTGTGGGTCACAAACCTGCAGCCGGCTGCAGATGGTGGTGTAGGTCTTGCAGTTGAGGACATTTTCAGGCACACCTTGCAGCTCGAAGTCGGAGAAACATTTCTGTTAAAAAACACACAATAAATTGGTTTCAAATAGACAAACAAGAGTCATCAGGCGATGACACATCCCCCCCAACCCCCTGATCTGGTGGACTTTGGAAATGGAGTTTGACTACTAACACCCAACTTTTGGCTCATTGCCACTGGATACCTTCGGTTAAGAGAAGAAAAATGATTTTTTTAGGGTAAAACATCATTTATACATATCATAATTCATACTAATTGTTTATTTCTTCTCATTCTCAAAAGATAGTGGAAACTTCCTGTGCTGTGCACCCATCTCACCCAAATGCACCTTCACATGCGCAGGCACAACAGAACCACTTGACCAAGCTATGTGATTCATCATTCTCTCCATTTTCCTACTCTTTACTGGCCGAAAATCACATCAAGGAAAGCAGGGACTGCTGGGTGGGTGCTTCAGCGTATGAGTCAGGGTAAGTATGACTGATATTTTACCCTAAAAAAATAATATTTTACCATATCCTGACTCAAAGGGCTCACAGTTGGTGGTGGGTCTCACCTCGATATGTGATTCTGACATTGTCTGTTTTGATGGTAGGGGTGGAGAGACATTACTCTAAGGAGGAGAGGCCTGCCCTGTTGATGGTCATGAGACAGTTGAGCTGGTAGGGGTGGAGAGACATTACTCTAAGGAGGAGAGGCCTGCCCTGTTGATGGTCATGAGACAGTTGAGCTGGTAGGGGTGGAGAGACATTACTATAAGGAGGAGAGGCCTACCCTGTTGATGGTCATGAGACATTTGAGCTGGTAGGGGTGGAGAGACATTACTATAAGGAGGAGAGGACTTCCCTGTTGATGGTCATGAGACAGTTGAGCTGGTAGGGGTGGAGAGACATTACTATAAGGAGGAGAGGACTTCCCTGTTGATGGTCATGAGACAGTTGAGCTGGTAGGGGTGGAGAGACATTACTATAAGGAGGAGAGGACTTCCCTGTTGATGGTCATGAGACAGTTGAGCTGGTAGGGGTGGAGAGACATTACTATAAGGAGTAGAGGACCTACCCTGTTGATGGTCATGAGACAGTTGAGCTGGTAGGGGTGGAGAGACATTACTATAAGGAGTAGAGGACCTACCCTGTTGATGGTCATGAGACAGTTGAGCTGGTAGGGGTGGAGAGACATTACTATAAGGAGGAGTAGAGGACCTACCTTGTTGATGGTCATGAGACAGTTGAGCTGGTAGGGGTGGAGAGACGTTACTATAAGGAGTAGAGGCCTACCCTGTTGATGGTCATGAGACATTTGAGCTGGTAGGGGTGGAGAGACATTACTATAAGGAGTAGAGGACCTACCCTGTTGATGGTCATGAGACAGTTGAGCTGGTAGGGGTGGAGAGACATTACTATAAGGAGTAGAGGCCTACCCTGTTGATGGTCATGAGACATTTGAGCTGGTAGGGGTGGAGAGACATTACTATAAGGAGGAGAGGCCTACCCTGTTGATGGTCATGAGACAGTTGAGCTGGTAGGGGTGGAGAGACATTACTCTAAGGAGGAGAGGCCTACCCTGTTGATGGTCATGAGACAGTTGAGCTGGTAGGGGTAGAGAGACATTACTATAAGGAGGAGAGGCCTACCCTGTTGATGGTCATGAGACAGTTGAGCTGGCAGGGGTGGAGAGACATTACTCTAAGGAGGAGAGGCCTACCCTGTTGATGGTCATGAGACAGTTGAGCTGGTAGGGGTGGAGAGACATTACTATAAGGAGTAGAGGCCTACCCTGTTGATGGTCATGAGACAGTTGAGCTGGTAGGGGTGGAGAGACATTACTATAAGGAGGAGAGGCCTACCCTGTTGATGGTCATGAGAGTTGAGCTGGTAAGGGTGGAGAGACATTACTATAAGGAGGAGAGGCCTACCCTGTTGATGGTCATGAGATAGTTGAGCTGGTAGGGGTGGAGAGACATTACTATAAGGAGGAGAGGCCTGCCCTGTTGATGGTCATGAGACAGTTGGGTTGGTAGGGGTGGAGAGACATTACTATAAGGAGGAGAGGACCTACCCTGTTGATGGTCATGAGACAGTTGAGCTGGTAGGGGTGGAGAGACATTACTATAAGGAGGAGAGGCCTACCCTGTTGATGGTCATGAGACAGTTGAGTTGGTAGGGGTGGAGAGACATTACTATAAGGAGGAGAGGCCTACCCTGTTGATGGTCATGAGACAGTTGAGCTGGTAGGGGTGGAGAGACATTACTATAAGGAGGAGTAGAGGACCTACCCTGTTGATGGTCATGAGACAGTTGAGCTGGTAGGGGTGGAGAGACATTACTATAAGGAGGAGTAGAGGACCTACCCTGTTGATGGTCATGAGACAGTTGAGCTGGTAGGGGTGGAGAGACATTACTATAAGGAGGAGTAGAGGCCTACCCTGTTGATGGTCATGAGACAGTTGAGCTGGTAGGGGTGGAGAGACAGGTCCAGTCTGTCAGTCAGCCAGTCACACATCATCTTCATCTGATCACTGTACCATTGCTGTAAACAAACAGTACAACACATCAAGCAGGATACGTGTCACAACATTCAAGTCAGACTGCACAGCTGGCAGAGACATAATTTGATTTTCCTATTATCACTTTGTCTTTACATTTACATAATTCCACAACTAGAAGGTACATGATGCACACAGACATATATAACTACCTCAAACAACGTGAGAGTGTAGAGTTCATCAGTGATCTTCTGTCTCATCTGATCCAGGTTACCTCGCATGAAGTCAACATAGGACTTGCCCAACTCGTCTACAGGTTTCTACAAAACACATTGTACACTCTTGACATCTTGCATGGCATCTTTAATTCAAATCAAATCAAAGTATCATACCCAGTGAGTAAGTTGGGCTTGGTTTGAGGCAGGTGTTAGGTAAGTCAAAAGTGAACTTGGAAAAATATGTTTATGATTTTAATGAAACCAACAAGCATGGGTACATGATCAAATCTAGGATTTGAAAGGACGACAGCAAATTGAGATGTCTGACCCACCCATGCTTCCCTACACACTTCGTAAGTCAGGCTTTGTTATTTCAAGATGGGTATGTTTTAGGGTACTGACTGTAAGAGAGAGAATGGAAGCAAAGAACGTTCCCTCGTCGTATCTGGCCAGCTTGCTCAGTACGGACTCCAGCACGGACAGGAACTGCAATGCAGGATTACACACACATCAACATACGTCATCACACGTCAACACATGTCAACATAAGGTGGACTTGCTGTACATAGGGATCAAGGGCTAACGAGTACTTGCAATACACAATTGAACTCAACATACATCCACATACACTTTTAATACCAATACACTTATAATGCTGTACAATGATATCAGTGGCTAGATGCTCAAGTTGATGATACTACAAGTTGTGAAAATTATCAAATACTCATCACCTGGTAATGGTATGTTCTACTGAGTGCAAGATTCAAGCTTCTGACCAGACAGAATTAAAATAACAAGTCACACGGCAGTTTTCCAGTCAGGGACTTGGTCTAAGGTGCCAGATCTCACTGAATCACTTACTGATTGAGATTCAACAAGCTCAATGGTACCTTCAGCTACCGTATTCGAGATAATAAGCGCCCTGCTCTAATAAGCGCCCACGGCGATATTTGCTAATATATTGGCGAGTGAACAATCTCAATTAGCACCCCTTCTGATTGATCAATGTACATAAGACTTATTCATTCACGTATAATACGCACTCGTGTGTTATATGCACCCTTAATTATGGGCAATTTAATCCTGGAAAAATATATATGTCGTATATAAACATTTCAAGTTGTCAGCATAAACCACGAAATTTACGTACTTTCAACTCTGTTTTTTTCACCAAAATAATATTCCAATAAGAGCCCCCTATTTCTAATTTTGAGAGCGCCCTAGGTGCTTATTACGTCGAATACGGTCAGTAGGATGGTGCTACTATGAGTTTAGAAAGAGTAAAACAGTCTTTGAGTTATGCTCCAGGAACAAACCCTATACTCATTTGAACTGGTTGGGTAACCAATTTGTTGTAAAGAAACTGGACAAAATAAACAAATTGAAACTTGCTAAATAGCAAAAGGCAGCAGTTCATGGCTAGGCTAATATATATGTGCAATGTTTGCAAAATTCATTTATGGACAGTTACATTTGGTAAAACATGTGTATACTACTATTCATTTGGTTTAAAATTATTTAAAGCATTGTTAAGAAACAGATTTGAAGTTAAAACACCCAAATGTAAAGAAACATGAGGGTTAAAAAAAAATTGAATACCCACTAAAAATTGTGGATGCGCAATAGAAATCAAACCCATGGGTAAAATACCCAAATAACCAAAAGCTTATCTGTAGCTCTGGGCCCAATTCCAACTTGGAATCCCCCACGCAGGTGTGAGGTACCAACACTGGCATATATGGCTATTTACCCACCTTCTCCACAAGACACTTGACCATCTGCACCTGGACTCTCTCCAGGAACTCGTCAATCTTGGTGTGATACTGGTGCTGAAACAATATAGGCAATACATGGCAGGCAAGCAGCGTCCCATGCTGTCGATCTCACACACTGTAACCTTTACACCCTCAATAGTCAGGCACGGGCTACTGGGGACGTTAGCAAGTCTGATTCAAGTATATTTTAACAAAATTGTGAAGCTGAGATTGTTGTTGTAAACTTCAAAATATTGTCACAGAGTAGCTCATAATTTAACCCTGTGGTAGTGCTAACTCATAAACACAGTCATAACACAAATTTACTTTGTAAAACGGCTTGGAATGTTTTAATCTCTACATGCAACTAATAGAGGTGACTGTCAAATCGTTCTTACCATATTTGATCCACTGTCCAAGGCACACAGATGAAGAGCCTGAGGAAGGAACAAGGTGACATGTACATACACAGTCACTCAGTAGTCATGAAACCCAATACTCATTCTTATTAGTGTTGCGACGATACACCACTGCATCGGTGGATTCTCGATTTTTTACTTCTTTATACAAGTATCGATGACAGTTGCACACTAAGTAAACAGTATCGATTCTTACCTTAAATGTTTTCATGAATAAGTGTTACACCAAAAACTAATTACTAGTGAAAATGAGAAGTGAAAACGTAAATATTTTCATCCATTGCACCATACCTGACACTGCCAACTGTTAATCATTAGTGTGCCAGGTATTTAGCAATCCTGTCTATGAAAAAGATGGCTTACACACCACAGATAAGTGCACATGCAAGTTCTATGGTTTGTTGTTTAACGCCGCACTCAGCAATAGTCCAGCTATATGACGGCGGTCTGTAAATAATTGAGTCTGGACCAGACAATCCAGTGATCGACATCATGAGCATCAATCCACGCAATTGGTACCGATGACATGCATCAACCAAGTCAGCGAGCCTGACCATCCGATCCTGTTAGTCGCCTCTTACGACAAGCATAGTCGCCTTTTACAGCAAGCATGGGTTGCTGAAGACCTATTCTACCCCAGATCTTCACGGGTTGCACATGCAAGTATCGTGATACATATCGGACCATGAGCAAGGTCACACAATACGTATTGGATCGCACAGTTGGTGTATCGTCCCAGCCCTACTTCTTATGGATGAAGATAAATGAGTCATTTCAGCTTTAAGTGAAGGAGGGACTGAAGAGCTGCATGTTGACACTTACAGCTTTGTTGAAACCCACAGGCATGGGTGCTCACCAACTAAGACTCACAATCAGAGTGAATCTGGCATTTGAAACACCTATCATAGGATTGTGGTACGCCTAAGGAATGCAACTCTGCACATCATCACCTTATACGACTGAGGCTTGTATCATGTCCGAGATCAATTCAAGTGTAGACATATTTTCAGGCTTATATCGCCACCAACACTTATGATTAGATTGATGTGTTATACTGGAAGGAGTAGTATGAGTGGTATTGCCTCTGTAAATTTCATTTGAAGTAGATTTAAGTTTCTTGCTTTGTAACTATTTTTGTAAAACTAGTGTGGTCAGCTATGACGACGTTATTCAAACTTCAAAGACTTTTGTGCCTTTCGTGGAATTAACGTCACACGAAATGATTTATAAAGATATTTCCCATCAATATTACAAAATAAGAATAATAAATAATGTCACATACCCATGCAAAGTAATGACAAATGTGAGCCCACTAGCCTAAATGACTTGGTCAACCCAATGAAACCCAGCGATTTACAAATGTGGGCCCACCTGTTTCGATCACTATAAGACGGGAACAATGTGGGCCCACATTTTAGAAAATGGTTATAAGTAAGCCAAGCTAATGAAGCTTAGCGATTTTTTAATGTGGTCCCCCTGCTGCAATCACTATGATGGAAGAACGTCTACCCACTAGGCGATATACAAATGTGGGCCCACTTGTTTCGATCACCATATATGACGGGAACAATGTGGGCCCACATTTTAGAAAATGGTTATCAGCACTAAACTAATCTTAGAAGATGTACGGATGGAAACATAAATATATAATGCATTCAAACATCTAATTAAGAATACATTGTACCTTAGGGATAAGCTGGGCATTTAATAGCTGGACCAACATCGTACAGCGTGGGTGATGCCATTTCTCGCAAACACAAAAACAATGGAGATAGCTCCCGTTTGAAATTAGAGTGACCTCTCTTTCCCAATATGAACCACTGATAATGTACAGCACCCACCTAGGACCATGCACAACACCCCCTAGGACCATGTACAACACCTCCTAGAACCTTGTAGAATCCCCTCATGGACCCTATACATGCACCCAGAATACAAGGACAGAAAGGTGGCAACTGGAGCCTAGATGTGTGAAGTGAACACATACCTTGTTCTTGCAGTCGATGATGACGTTCATCTGGGTACAGATCTCGGAGTAGGTGTTGTAGTCTGTTCCCTTCCCACCCTTCCTCAGCCAGCTCTCAAACGCCTTCAGCGTTCTGTATCATAACATGTTACACCTTGAAGTTTCCCACATTTGCAGTACTAAGCAAGTTTCATTATTGACATATTTTGAGTGTCACAGGGTTTTTCTCCCCATCAGTGTAAAATTTAAAAAACAGCTTCAAAGATGCTTTAGGTCCAAATTCTCCAGTTCACACAACCAGAAGCTTGCTTATCAAAAGTATCATCAGTGAACAGTAAGATACATTGGACTCTTCAGTACCATGTGTGTTTCGTGGGATCGAAAGGTATTTGTTTTTCAAGTGTGACCGAGAACACTCATAATGATGTTTAGGAGTGCCGTTTGGGATTCAAGTATGCCAAAAGAAGAATGCTTTTGTTCTACATTTGAACTCCGTGAACATCATTGAACATGAGCAAGAAAACAGGGACTTGTACTTTATAACAGTTGCCCCTTTCATTCCATGTCACTGACCCTTTTCAAGTTCCGAATCGCCAGATTTAATTTGTGTATGACACAAAGGGTGTTCATATGTTCATTTTCCATGTACCGTATGAGACGTAATAAGCGCCCCGCTTCAATAAGCGCCCACAGCAATATTTGCTAATATATTGGCTAGTGAACAATCCAAATAAGCACCTCTTCCGATTGATCAATGTACACAAGACTTATTTATTAGCGTATAATACGTACTCGTCTGTTATATGCACTAGAGGTATAACATTACGGGAGGGTCGCGATAAGATACGTATCGCAATACAGGGGTCGTGATACGATACGTATCACGATACAGTGTTTACTGGTACAAGCTAAGCCAAGTTGATGTCTTTCTGCTCTCTAAAAGATGTGACAAGTACAGTTGAAGAAGATATAAGGTGTTATTTACTGTTATAGCATCTTGTCAGAAATACAGTATGTTTTACTGAAACAACAAACTGGCTTTGAAACTGTTAAACGTATTTCATGTTTAAAAGTACCGTATTTTCTTGAGTATAGTGCGCACCCTCCTCTAGCAGGTTCAATATTTTGGAAAAAAAAGAAATTTGAATATTATGCGCAGAAAAAATTTACACCGTACCCCTTCAGCGAAGTCCGGCAAACGAACGTGTGATGAGAAACTTTGTCAGTACAAATTCGAAATTTTAGATAAAAAATCACCAGACATGTTGATTAACCGTTTAAATTGTATTTTTTGTTCAGCTAGGCATTGTTTTATATCCAGGGATTAAGATTACCTTGTGTATTTTCTCGTAAACTAAGCCGGACACAGCAATCAGCTGTACACACATTTTCTTGGAATCTACTGGTGATTCGGTCAAGACACACCCAATGATATAACTTAACAGGATTTTAATGCAAGGATCGGCAAAAGTTGTATCTGAAACTATTTTTTTTATCAGGAATAATATATTCCAATATCTTGTTAATTTAGATGCAGCTTTTACTAAACATATTTAAAATAATAATAACCCTAAGCGAAGTAGCTGATCGCTATTGCCGGGTATTATTTTTTACATGGAACCAGTCTGACCAGTCACCGTCAAGGCTCCCGTGCACGTGATCGCGAGATCGCGAGAATTACCTGTTGACATAGAATTGTCCAACAAAAAAAAAAATGACTTTTAACGAATCAAAGTATGGCATTTATGATATATGTATCCATTCTCTGTCAACTAGAGTTTGTTTCAAGGCGTCAATAGCGGTAACCTGACCGTGGTTGCTGTTAATAACGGTGAGTTGTGCGATCTTCCGATTGCTTCACACACGATTTCGCCGAAATTAATTAAAACAATATTAAAAGGATTTTGAATAAAATTGATGAAATAAGTTACAAACATAAGTCCAGATATACAAAGAACACTTTTTCTAGCCAGACAGTGTAATTACATGACTAATTTGCGTACTTCAGTATGGATTTGTTGACATGGTATTTCCGGTGTTACGTGCTCACGGTAATGTCTTTCCATGGGGGAAAAAACATCAAAACTCATTAATTCGTGTATACTGGCACCCCCTTCTACACAGCTATTTTTTGGAGAGAAAAAAGTGCGCACTATACTCAAGAAAATACGTAAGTAAAACTGTGTTATGAAAATATCGTATGTATCGCGATACATGCTTTCCAAATCGATGCATCGTATCGTGGGCTGTGCATCGGGATACAATACTGTATCGCTGTATCGTTACACCACTAATATGCACCCTTAATTATGGGCAATTAAATTCTGGAAAAATATATCTGTCGTACATAAACATTGCAGGCTGTCAGCATAAACCACGAAATTTATGTTTCAACTCTGTTTTCTCTCTCACCTAAATGATGTTCTAATAAGAGCCCCCTATTTCTAATTTTGAGAGCGCCCTGGGCGCTTATTACGTCGAATACGGTATTTGTCCAGTTTACTTGTGTGAAAGCATATTTGGCACTGGCAATATTACAGGATTCCTCAAACTTAACTCCAATAAATGATTCAATCTATGCACTACTAGTCATATCACTTGTGCAGAAAGGGAATTCCACTGTGATGAAATTAGGTTACACACAACTCTCTGTCATGCTACATTCTGCTATGTCTTGATGGAAATCTGTGAGTGGCCGAGTGAGCTGAAAGGGCGGATCCAGCATTTTTGAAAGGGAGGGGTCTAAAATATCAAAACACTCTCAGTCAATTTTACTGCCTACAAACACTACATTTGGTGGGGTCCGGACCTCCTGGACCCCCTCTGGATCCGCCTATGAGCTGGTTTTAATCCCACTTTGAATAGTATCTCAGTCCTAGTTATGTTGCTTCAAAGCACACCAAAAAAAATAAAAAATTGTATATCAGCTAAATTAATGAAAGCATGTTTACCTCTTGGCTGCTGCTTCTATCATGTCGGCGGCCATGAGCTTGAGGCGATGGTCCAGATGCTCGGCGAACACTTCCTCGGGCCAGTGCAGGTCTCGGATGAAAGACTGCAGGGCGTCCAGCTTCCACAGCATGTCTTCCGACGTTCCACACCCATTCCTGGATGCAGCATGATATTTATTACATAAAAAAGCCAGAGTGAATGTCATTGATCAGTATTTCAATTACATAAGGAAGTGTCAGATGAACTGAGTGAGTGAGTATGGTTTTATGCAAATTTTGGCAGCATCGGTTTGCAAGAACTGCAGCTTATTTTATCTTACGTTATATGTCTAGTACTGAGTGAGTGAGTGAGTATTGTTTTACGAAGCTTTTAGCAATATTCCAGCAATACCCCACCTGGGGACACCAGAAATGGCCTTCACAAATTGAGCCCATGTGCGGAATCAAACCCAGGCCTTGTGTGTGACGAGTGAGTGCATTAACCACCTGGCTATCATGTAGAACATGTTTACCACTTGTGTGAAATCCATGAGCATGGTATGGTGCTGGATAACCTAAGGACATACTGAGGGGGAATATGTGATTTTAATCCACAGTCAAAACTTCATGGCATGGCCAAGGATGCAACTGTATAGCGAATAGCAGCACCTTTAGTCATTGAGAAGTGTATAAGTGGCATTATTATTTCCTACTCGAGTTGACTACATACCCTTGTTGATCCCACTTCTCCCTCTCGAAGCCCTTGTGTATAGACTGTGCAATGGAGGACTCCATGAGGTCCACATACCGCACAACCTGAGGTGCGAACACGTCTCTCAGCTGCTGGTGGAACCGGCCGTTGCATAGGTTCTCTACAAGTACAGACACGGTCATCATAAAACCATACAAGCCATCATACAAAAAGACACATCCTTAAGTTTTTAGCTGTCCATCTTCATGTCTATGTTTATTTATTTCTCATCATATTTTTTTCAAAACCGGTAGTTTCAGGTAGTTCGAAACACCTGAGATCCTCCAAGGTAAGTGAGTGAGTATGGTATTACGCCACTTTTAGCAATATTCCAGCAATATCACGGCAGGGGACACCAGAAATGGGCTTCACACATTGTACCCATGTCGGGAATCAAACCAGGTCTTCGGTGTGACAAGCGAATGCCTTAACCACTAAGCTACTCCACCGCCCCTCCCCAAGGTAAGAGTGTGAGTTTGGGTCTAATGCCACTTTGAACAGTATTTCAGTTACATCACAACGTGTCAGCTAGATGTGGGAGGAAAGCCCGGTGCTGAGGTAGAATGAGGGTCAGGGTCCAGACTAACAGGGTTTCACTGTATACAGAAAGTGTGGTGTTGATGTAGAATGTTGGACAGGGTCCGGACTAACAGGGTTTTACTGTATACAGAAAGTGTGGTGGTAATGTAGAATGTGGGGTAGGGTCCAGACTAACAGGGTTTTACTGTATACAGAAAGTGTGGTGGTAATGTAGAATGTGGGGTAGGGTCCAGACTAACAGGGTTTTACTGTATACAGAAAGTGTGGTGTTGATGTAGAATGTGGGACAGGGTTCAGACTAACAGGGTTTTACTGTATACAGACAGTGTGGTGTTGATGTAGCATGTGGGGTAGGGTCCAGACTAACAGGGTTTTACTGTATACAGAAAGTGTGGTGTTGATGTAGAATGAGGGTCAGGGTCCAGACTAACAGGGTTTTACTGTATACAGAAATTGTGGTGTTGATGTAGAATGTAGAACAGGGTTCAGACTAACAGGGTTTTACTGTATACAGAAAGTGTGGTGTTGATGTAGAATGTTGGACAGGGTCCAGACTAACAGGGTTTTACTGTATACTGAAAGAGTGGTGGTGATGTAGAATCTAGGGCAGGGTCCAGACTAACAGGGTTTTACTGTATACAGAAAGTGTGGTGGTGATGTAGAATCTGGGGCAGGGTCCAGACTAACATGGTTTTACTATACAGAAAGTGTGGTGTTGATGTAGAATCTAGGGCAGGGTTCAGACTACCAGGGTTTTACTGTATACAGAAAGTGTGGTGGTAATGTAGAATGTGGGACAGGGTCCAGACTAACAGGGTTTTACTGTATACTGAAAGAGTGGTGGTGATGTAGAATGTGGGACAGGGTCCAGACTAACAGGGTTTTACTGTATACTGAAAGAGTGGTGGTGATGTAGAATCTAGGGCAGGGTCCAGACTAACAGGGTTTTACTGTATACTGAAAGAGTGGTGGTGATGTAGAATGTGGGACAGGGTCCAGACTAACAGGGTTTTACTGTATACTGAAAGAGTGGTGGTGATGTAGAATGTGGGACAGGGTCCAGACTAACAGGGTTTTACTGTATACTGAAAGAGTGGTGGTGATGTAGAATCTAGGGCAGGGTCCAGACTAACAGGGTTTTACTATACAGAAAGTGTGGTGGGAATGTAGAATGTGGGACAGGGTCCAGACTAACAGGGTTTTACTATACAGAAATTGTGGTGGTGATGTAGAATCTAGGGCAGGGTCCAGACTAACAGGGTTTTACTGTATACAGAAAGTGTGGATGCATGACTGACCATCTGTCCTCAGATAGTCGTTGAGCAGCTGGAAGAGTGGGAAGCTGTCCCATGTGTCCGGTGGCTGTGCCTCCAGTACAGCATTCATGTCCACCCCAAACAGCGACCAGAAGATCTCCGCATGCTCCACCAGCAGATCACTAAACCAGGCAAATGCCTGTAGAACACACAGTAGCAGTGTTAAAGCTGGAGGCTAGTACCATGTCACAGCATGCTGACATCTACACTTTCTCCACTGTGGTCAGAACATCTTCCAATCTACATTTTATCTACATTAACATTTTAAAACAACCAGACTGTCTTGTCGCTTTGGTCATTTTTGTTTTCAAACCAATTAAAATTTCAACAAAATCACTAGATAGAAATGTGGGTAAATTCCTTCCGAATCTGGGGAGAAATGATCCACATATTCATAAAAACAAATTTCTGAATAGTGAGGAGTAGAAGGCAAGTGTGGTATGAGGTAAATCCCCGACTGGTCCCTGGGCGCAGGCCAGATGTCTATCCACTGCTTGCATGAAGCAGCTCAGTCACACAGGGAAAAAGGCAGAAGGTGTAAACTCAACACACAGACCATGGAAATACTTAACAAATATTGAAACAATTGTTTCATAAGAAGTGACAAATTATTATGAAAAGATTAGTAGCTCAGCAAATCGCATCACACAGGCCATCAGAATTTGTGTAGTGAAAACACTCAACAGTCTTCAGAGCTAGAGTAACAGAAAATCGAAAATAAATCCAACACAGTACACTACGGGCAATTTACACACATCTTGTCACTAAAATTTTGCTTTAAATTTAAAACATTTTTCAAAAAAAAAATGAAGAATGAAATTACAAATTGACATAGGTTTTATACTTGATGATGGAACACAGAGTCTAGATGACTAAGAAAAGATTAATTGAAAGTGGGAACTTGAGGAAGCATGTGACTATCTTCATGCATATGGTACAGGCATCAGTTACGGCTTGTGTACATTCAGTTTCAAGTGCACAGTTTATTACAGCTGGATTATAGAAATGCAGATTTACATGGATGTGCAATAGGAAAAATACAGAGCTTTGGACTTTACCTGCAATATACATAAAAAACAATATCATAATTACATTATTTCATCTTATTTCAGCTTACTTCAGCTTTTAGATTTAATTTTGGTCATGCATGTGACTATAAACTTCTAACAACCTACAAGCTAATAAAAGCAAAAAAAAAATAATAATGTAAAATGAAACGTGTAAAAATTGTGATTTTCTAGTAAGTAACACTAACTGCATAAATCGTGAAAATTATTCTATGAAAAATGTGAAATATCTATCTAAAAATGTCTGTCAAAAAACAAAGATGTTTCATAAAGCAGCGCTGTTTCAAAAGAGGAAAAAACAAATGAGCAAGCAAATTAACCCTTTAAGCGTGGACCATTTGACATGGTATTATGTGAGACTCTCCTCCACGCTGAAAGGGTCGTGTTGAAGTAACAAGATGTGTGTGGGACAAGAGCATGAGACTCACCGATCGAAACGCCTAACAGCAGATGAGGAGAAAGCACAATTGCAAGTTATTCATTGTCCATGCAATATTCAGTTGACAAACAGGAGGTATTGTACACAACACTATTGGGTCTCACAGTGAAGCAAACGCCAGACTTGTCAACTTACTTACAATGTAATAAATAGGCCTCAGTCTGAATTTGTTGTTTTTCTGTCTCACTATCACCGTTTTGGTTATTTTCGTGGATATCAAAATGCAAATAATTGGTTTTCATGATGTTTATTTTTGAGTTGACAAGTCTGTTTGGGTACAATATGACTGGTGTTTGACATGGTACACAATACATGGCAACAGGGCGCATAAGCATGTTGGTCACGTGGACTAACAACCTGCCTGGTCACACCATCACATCATACAGATTAACCCTATCTAGTCCAGGTGACACCCTTACATCACACAGATTAACCCTATCTAGTCCAGGTGACACCATCACATCATACAGATTAACCCTATCTAGTCCAGGTGACACCATCACATCATACAGTTTAACCCTATCTAGTCCAGGTGACACCTTTACATCGTACAGATTAACCCTATCTAGTCCAGGTGACACCATCACATCACACAAATTAACACTAGTTCAGGTCACACCATCACATCAGAAAGATTAACCCTGTCTAGTTCAGGTCACATTATTACATAACATACATTAACCCTATCTAGTTCAGGTCACACCATGTAATACTAGTTCAGGTCAAACCATCCCATCAGATTAACCCAGTCTAGTTCAGTCACACCATCACATCCAACAGATTAACCCTGTCTAGTTCAGTCACACCATCACATCCAACAGATTAACCCTGTCTAGTTCCGGTCACACCATCACATCAGAAAGATTAACTCTGTTCCATTTTAGTTTACACCATCACATCCTACATATTAACTCTGTCTATTTAAGGTCACACCATCACATCCAACAGATTAACCCTGTCTAGTTCCGGTCACACCATCACATCCTACATATTAACTCTGTCTATTTAAGGTCACACCATCACATCCTACATATTAACTCTGTCTATTTAAGGTCACACCATCACATCCAACAGATTAACTCTGTCTATTTAAGGTCACACCATCACATCCAACAGATTAACCCTGTCTAGTTCCGGTCACACCATCACATCCTACATATTAACTCTGTCTATTTAAGGTCACACCATCACATCCTACATATTAACTCTGTCTATTTAAGGTCACACCATCACATCCAACAGATTAACTCTGTCTATTTAAGGTCACACCATCACATCCAACAGATTAACCCTGTCTATTTAAGGTCACACCATCACATCCTACATATTAACCCTGTCTATTTAAGGTCACACCATCACATCATACAGATTAACCCTGTCTAGTTCCGGTCACACCATCACATCCAACAGATTAACCCTGTCTATTTAAGGTCACACCATCACATCCTACATATTAACCCTGTCTAGTTCAGATCACATCACACAAATAAATACTAGTTCAGGTCAAACCATCACATCAGATTAACTCTGTCTATTTAAGGTCACACCATCACATCCTACATATTAACCCTGTCTAGTTCAGTTACACCATCACATCCAACAGATTAACCCTGTCTAGTTCAGGTCAAACCATCACATCCAACAGATTAACCCTGTCTAGTTCAGGTCACACCATCACATCAGAAAGATTAACCCTGTCTAGTTCAGGTCACACCATCACATCAGAAAGATTAACCCTGTCTAGTTCAGGTCACATTATCACATAACATACATTAACCCTATCTAGTTCAGGTCACACCATCACATCACACAAATTAATACTAGTTCAGGTCAAACCATCACATCAGATAAACCCTGTCTAGTTCAGTCACACCATCACATCCAACAGATTAACCCTGTCTAGTTCCGATCACACCATCACATCAGAAAGATTAACCCTGTCTAGTTCAGGTCACATTATCACATAACATACATTAACCCTATCTAGTTCAGGTCACACCATCACATCCAACAGATTAATACTAGTTCAGGTCACACCATCACATCCAACATATTAACACTAGTTCAGGTCACACCATCACATCCAACATATTAACACTAGTTCAGGTCACACCATCACATCCTACATATTAACTCTGTCTATTTCAGGTCACACCATCACATCAGATTAACCCTGTCTAGTTCAGTCACACCATCACATCCAACAGATTAACCCTGTCTAGTTCCGGTCACACCATCACATCCTACATATTAACTCTGTCTATTTAAGGTCACACCATCACATCCTACATATTAACCCTGTCTAGTTCCGGTCACACCATCACATCCTACATAATAACTCTGTCTATTTAAGGTCACACCATCACATCCAACAGATTAACCCTGTCTATTTAAGGTCACACCATCACATCAGAAAGATTAACTCTGTTCCATTTTAGTTTACACCATCACATCCTACATATTAACTCTGTCTATTTAAGGTCACACCATCACATCCAACAGATTAACCCTGTCTAGTTCCGGTCACACCATCACATCCTACATATTAACTCTGTCTATTTAAGGTCACACCATCACATCCTACATATTAACTCTGTCTATTTAAGGTCACACCATCACATCCAACAGATTAACTCTGTCTATTTAAGGTCACACCATCACATCCAACAGATTAACCCTGTCTATTTAAGGTCACACCATCACATCCTACATATTAACCCTGTCTATTTAAGGTCACACCATCACATCATACAGATTAACCCTGTCTAGTTCCGGTCACACCATCACATCCAACAGATTAACCCTGTCTATTTAAGGTCACACCATCACATCCTACATATTAACCCTGTCTAGTTCAGATCACATCACACAAATAAATACTAGTTCAGGTCAAACCATCACATCAGATTAACTCTGTCTATTTAAGGTCACACCATCACATCCTACATATTAACCCTGTCTAGTTCAGTTACACCATCACATCCAACAGATTAACCCTGTCTAGTTCAGGTCAAACCATCACATCCAACAGATTAACCCTGTCTAGTTCAGGTCACACCATCACATCAGAAAGATTAACCCTGTCTAGTTCAGGTCACACCATCACATCAGAAAGATTAACCCTGTCTAGTTCAGGTCACATTATCACATAACATACATTAACCCTATCTAGTTCAGGTCACACCATCACATCACACAAATTAATACTAGTTCAGGTCAAACCATCACATCAGATAAACCCTGTCTAGTTCAGTCACACCATCACATCCAACAGATTAACCCTGTCTAGTTCCGATCACACCATCACATCAGAAAGATTAACCCTGTCTAGTTCAGGTCACATTATCACATAACATACATTAACCCTATCTAGTTCAGGTCACACCATCACATCCAACAGATTAATACTAGTTCAGGTCACACCATCACATCCAACATATTAACACTAGTTCAGGTCACACCATCACATCCAACATATTAACACTAGTTCAGGTCACACCATCACATCCTACATATTAACTCTGTCTATTTCAGGTCACACCATCACATCAGATTAACCCTGTCTAGTTCAGTCACACCATCACATCCAACAGATTAACCCTGTCTAGTTCCGGTCACACCATCACATCCTACATATTAACTCTGTCTATTTAAGGTCACACCATCACATCCTACATATTAACCCTGTCTAGTTCCGGTCACACCATCACATCCTACATAATAACTCTGTCTATTTAAGGTCACACCATCACATCCAACAGATTAACCCTGTCTATTTAAGGTCACACCATCACATCCAACAGATTAACCCTGTCTAGTTCCGGTCACACCATCACATCACACAAATTAACACTAGTTCAGGTGACACCATCACATCACACAAATTAACACTAGTTCAGGTCACACCATCACATAAGACAGAGGTGTTCAGTACAGGAAGGAGGCATCACCCACTGCCATGCTCAGTGAGTCTGTCAAGTTAATATCATCATATCAACAGTCAGCAGTGTAGTCAAGGGTAAAACTGATAAAACCAATACATGTTCTTATGATCAAATTATGATATATTTCCTTGATATGTTGATGAATAAACTTTCAGATGTGCTACAAATTATCAAAAGACACTACAATCTTATATAACTTATTTATTGCTAAGTAAGTGTGAACAGGGTTTCTCAATATTCTGCAGACAGCACAATAATTCCCAAAAAATAAAGATAAAATCTAATGATGTAAAATCTTGAATTGATGTTTTTAAACCTTTGAATCAAATTTGTTTCCTGAAAAATATTTCGATATTGAATAGAGTACCAATTGCAGCTGGAAAGGTGACAGGGAGAATGCATATAAATACCAAACATGGATAAGAATATGAATTTGTATGCAAAAAAAGAATGTACAGAGTATATAATGGAGATGGTGGGTCCCTGTTTACATTGTACACTTTAGTCTGTACCATCTTCCGGAGCGATCTGTCCACATCAGACTACAAAGGAGTGCACACATCGGTTATTTGGGGAGAGAAACTCAGCCTTGTGGCATGAAATAAGGACTCAACTTGGTCACTAGGATATTCTGTTGTTAAAATACAAGTACACCTCTATTCTTGTTCAATAAAGTTTAACTTTAACATATAAACAGATGAAAATATGCAGGCAACTTCATCACCATTTAACAACAAAGAACAGACACAATGCCAAAACACACATGTTAGTTATCCTCTGCCTGTCAGTGCCCTCCCAACATGAGTCAACTGTATGCTGTGAAATCCATACACAACTTTCAGAGAATTGTCCTACAGAAATATCTGAATCCATTTCAACAATTCTTCCAACATAAATTCCTCAGAATTCCCACCCTTTGTCAGTAACATATCTATCCAAAATGTAGCTGACCCCTGTATCCCATGTGTGCTACTGACCCCTGCATCTCCCATATGCTACTGACCCCTGCATCCCCTGTGTGCTACTGACCCCTGCATGCTACTGACCCCTGTATGCTACTGACCCCTGCGTGCTACTGACCCCTGCATCCCCTGTGTGCTACTGACCCCTGCATGCTACTGACCCCTGTATGCTACTGACCCCTGCATCCCCTGTGTGCTACTGACCCTTGCATCCCCTGTGTGTTACTAACCCCTGCATCCCCATGAGCTACTGACCCCTGCATCCCCCTTGTGCTACTGACCCCTGCATCCCGTGTGCTACTGACCCCTGCATCTCCCGTGTGCTACTGACCCCTGGTTGCTACTGACCCCTGCATCCCCTGTGTGCTACTGACCCCTGCATCCCCTGCATGCTACTGACCCCTGCATCCCCTGTGTGTTACTGACCCCTGCATCCCCTGTGTGCTACTGACCCCTGCATCCCCTGTGTGCTACTGACCCCTGCATCCCCTGTGTGCTACTGACCTCTGCGTGATGCTCCTCGTGCTGCTGCAACACCTCTATACACAGCTCCGCAAGGTGCATGATGTCCTCCAGCTTCTTCTTGGAAGAGATGTCGTCACTCAAGGCATCTACAACAGTTGACTCGGCATGAACCATCAATGATCAACAACACACAACATCTTGCTATCACATCTAGGTATCCTGCCTATGACTATCATACCTTGTTGTGCTCATCTGGGGCGCTGCCTCTGAATGCTTCTCATGCTCTAGAATACCCTAGTTTGAAAATCACTGCCTGTACCAATTGTCTTTGATAAGTTAACAAACAAGCACACAATGCTACCAATTAGCAATGTTAGCCAATACAAACTACACTGGTATTATATCTTGGAAATACATACAAAATACCCACTGTATAGATCAACTTTACCTACAGTCTTCAATTTGTGAAAGCTAACTTCAAGGTCATAGAGCTAAATGTCTCCTTCATTTTTTTAAATAATGAAAAAGGATCATATTTTGTCAAAGCCAGGAGTTAATTGCCACTTTCAACAGTACTTCAGTCACAGAAAGTGCAAACTAACAAATGTTTTCCAGTTCGGTGAGTGAGGGAGTCAGTTTGATTTATCACCGTTTCAAAAAGTATTACAGTTATATCACAGCATTTCAACTTGATGTGAGAGGAAAACCCTAAATGATGCAGGTCTCAGACGTTTACCACTTTGGTGAAACCCATGGGGACAGGTATAGATAGCACTGACGAAACAAGAAACATAATCGTGATCACAGTTTCTTCCGTGCGTTTCTGCACAGCGAATTGCCTGATTTTGGGGGACCTGAAACCGTGGGTATAGCGTCAAAAGACAAGAATCATAATCTTTTTTAATATATCCAATCCATGAGAAGCGGATCCTTGCAATGCAAAGGACATAACTCTGCATCTGTAAACTGCAGCTAAACTAGAAACATCAAGGTAGGGGAAATCATGTACAGTCACACCAACACAGGCCACACATATAGGTGAGAAACAAAGTCTGCTTGATGACAAAATAAAATGTACATAAATGTCAAGAATAACAGCATGAAACTAAAAAATGAGAGGGTAGAGAGAGGTGGGCAGTGTGGGCGGATACCTACCGCAATTTCCTATAGTCAGCAGCAGCAGCAGCACAAGGCAAACATATACAGTCAGACAGTGCAACAAGAGCCTCTAGCAAGTCTAGACTTCATGTCATATCAACATTAGCGTTTTCTTGACCAAATAACTTAGGGGTCATCTCAAAAGTTCACAGACAACTGCTTCAACTTATCCCTATACCGTATTCGACGTAATAAGAGCCCCGCTCCAATATTTGCTAATATATTGGCTAGTGAACAATCCCAATCAGCACCCTTCCGATTGATCAATGTACACAAGACTTATTTATTTGTGTATAATATGCACTCGTGTGTTATATGCACCCTTAATTATTGGCAATTAAATTCTGGAAAAATATATCTGTCGTATGTAAACATTTCAGGATGTTAGCATAAACCACGAAATTTACGATCTTTCATCTCAAAATAATATTATAATAAGCGCCCCCTGTTTCTAATTTTGAGAGCGCCCTGGGCGCTTATTACATTGAATACGGTAAATCAGTACGTAGGTGTTTTGAGTCCTGTTCATTTCGGCCTTTTTTCTAATTTAATTTAGTTATACTTTTGAAAAATTCTTGTTGATGCTGTCCTGGCTCTTCCAGGAGCATTCAGTTTGATCAACGATCAATGACAAGTTCATAAAACCTATGTACACATTATTGTTAAGCTTAAAAACAGGTGTTAGATATTTGCACATCAATATCCCAGACTGGTAATATTCATAATTTAATTTTGAGAAGATGCTTAGACATGAGACTTATTTTTCTAATTACAACAAAAATTGGTGTCAATTGTGTTCGTGAACATGCTTTATTTATCTCTGTGAAAATGGTGAAAAAATGGCTACTTAATTGCATGATTACTTCAATAATCACTGATGTAAATTTGTGTGACATATTGTGCAATATAGCTATAACATGGTGAAAAGTGGTAGTGTCCGGTTGACTGATCATCATTGTCTAACAAATATTTTCAAAACATATTTTCATGTTGTTGATAAAAAACTAAACATATGGTGTTAGTCATGCATTAAATAATGAACACCATTTAGTCGTCGTACAAATCTACAGCACGTATTTAGCTAGCTGCATCCTGTCACAGTGACACTTAATCCAGAGATGCCAACGCCAGGGTAATTCTAGGGTGGGGCCTTGTGCATTAGCCCCTAGATTTGAAAAAACCTGTCCACATTTTCAAATACAATGGGGCATTTTAACATTGCGCTGTATGGGCGTACCTCTGGAATATTTGAAATTTTCATATAAAGGGCCCATGTCAGAAAATTTCCAGAGTGAACCCTGCAACTCAAGTAGGAGGCAACTTGGAATACTGGGGACAATTAGTGTTTTGTAATTACAAAAAAAAGAATAGTAATCACCAGCAGATTACATATGGTCTGATGAAAAGCAATGATATTATCACCCAAACTCAAAATCTGTACTGTCCAATTATAAGCTAAAACGTGTGATAATTAATTTGTTAATAATTGGTGTCATATGCGGCAATGCCTGTAGTGAAGTATTAACAAGTCTAAATTAAAAAATTAGTGGCGATCATTTATACAAAATCTGTAAGACATTTCACTTAATCATATCAATGTAAATAGGGGCAAAATATTAAAAGGATTCAATCAGCCAAAAGCCTAATGTTTGGCATCCCTGCTTAATCAGTTCTTTGAAAAGTTAAGGGAAGATCATTGGCACTGGAACCTATTTCATAATATACTACTCAAAAGAAGTTAAGGATCACCTGATTCTTTCATATTACTATAGTTAATCTCTCATGTCGTGACAAATTAACTTTACCATTATGAAAGAATCGGGTGATCCTTAACTTCTTTTGAGTAGTATACAAGTCTACTGGTCAGACAAGTGAGTGAATATTGTTTAATGCTGCAGTCAGCAATATTCCTGCTCTGTGACTCAAGCCTGTAAAGTTAAGAGTAGGCCACTAATGACTTAGAGCATGAGCCACATTCCTTGCCATAGCTAAGGCACGATAACACTGTCAGCCTCGTCACCCAAACTCCATCTCAATATGCATGACATACTTGGGATAAATTCTTCCTCATAGGGGGTAAGACAAGTGTGATGTACAAAACAGGGTAGTAGTGACAAGCCTGATGTACTGGGTACTAATTCTCCCTCAGAATCCTAACAAGGCGGTAACAAACACTATGTACTGGGGGCCAATTCTTCCCTGGAATGCCAACAGGGTAGTGGTGACAAGCCTGATGTACTGGGGACTAATTCTCCCTCAGAATCCAAACAAGGCGGTAACAAACACTATGTACTGGGGGCCAATTCTTTCCTGGAATCCCAACAGGGTAGTGGTGACAAGTCTGATGTACTGGGGACTAATTCTCCCTCAGAATCCTAACAAGGCGGTAACAAACACTATTTACTGGGGGCCAATTCTTCCCTGGAATCCCAACAGGGTAGTGGTGATAAGCCTGATGTACTGGGGAGTAATTCTTCTTCAGAATCCTAACAAGGCGGTAACAAACACTATGTACTGGGGGCCAATTCTTCCCTGGAATGCCAACAGGGTAGTGGTGATAAGTCTGATGTACTGGGGAGTAATTCTTCTTCAGAATCCTAACAAGGCGGTAACAAACACTATTTACTGGGGGCCAATTCTTTCCTGGAATCCCAACAGGGTAGTGGTGATAAGTCTGATGTACTGGGGAGTAATTCTTCTTCAGAATCCTAACAAGGCGGTAACAAACACTATGTACTGGGGGCCAATTCTTTCCTGGAATCCCAACAGGGTAGTGGTGATAAGTCTGATGTACTGGGGAGTAATTCTTCTTCAGAATCCTAACAAGGCGGTAACAAACACTATGTACTGGGGGCCAATTCTTTCCTGGAATCCCAACAGGGTAGTGGTGATAAGTCTGATGTACTGGGGAGTAATTCTTCTTCAGAATCCTAACAAGGCGGTAACAAACACTATGTACTGGGGACAATTCTTCCCTGGAATCCCAACAGGGTAGTGGTGACAAGCAGCTTGTTACAGATGCCATTGTCTCCTTGTCCAGGATGCAGCTTTCTATATGCAGCTGTGGTTCATTTGACGTCACTACCATACCATGAAAATTGTAACCAAAAGGGCTATATGAAGAAACTTATAGATATTGACTACAAATAAAAAATATATGCAACTCCAATCTTAGAAAGCAAGACTGACATGTTCATTCTCATAAATCTTTGAGAACTTGCTTTGTAAAATTGGTCGTGTACATCTCCTAATATTCAGCACACACTACAATTATCAGTTGTGCAGAGAAATCAGCTAGAAAATGTTAACACTGATCTATTTCAGCAAAATAAAGGAAAGCAATAGTCTATGAATTGTTTCAACAGAGTGAAATGTATAACACTCTTCACCTTTCTTGCGTCCTGAAGGGTCAATGTGAAATGGACAAATAGTTGTTTAACTTGGAGTGACACAATCATTTTCACAACCAAATTTCAATGGTAAAGACATCAAACAGTTTTCTTGACAGACATTTTACAAGTAGTTATTAAAATAAGAAAACATCTTTTTAAAAAAAAGGCATTAGTTCATTTCAATAAACCATGTCATAACTACCATATTTTCTTGTGTACATCAATGACATTTTATTTATTTACAGAAAATTAACTTTTCTGTACAAAGGTGGATAAAATATACTACTCAAAAAAAGTTAAAGAACGCCTAGTTCATTCATATTACTATAATTAATCTGACACAATCAGTATTCTTTAGCTTCTTTTGAGTAGTATATAAAATCCAACTCTGTATAGACACTCTCCCCCCAGCAAAAATATTACTGCCAAAATCTGACGTCAACAAATCCATAGTAAAGCATGCCACTTAGGCTTGACACAGTATATTGTCCAGCAATGCTGATCGTAGTGAGAAATAACTTGAAAATAACCATGTCACGTCAACTTTTATGACACATTTTACATTTCCACTGACGAAATCTGTTCTCTCCCACTGGCGCCAACCAAAACTTAACACAGAGACAATTTGACTGCACACTGCATACAAGATCACTGCATAGGTGATGCACATTATACACTAGAGAATATGGTAGTTTGATTAACAGTCACCCTCTACAGACTGGAATAAATGTCCTGCTGTTAACTGGGGTAAGTGTACTATGTTAGATTAATATGAAATGTTATATAAATACATGACACTTCTCCTATGGATAACAACAACTTTATCACACCCAACCGCATCACTACACCTTCATTGCATTGATTGACTTCTCTCCCGAACATTAATCCTACCCTGTTTAAACATATTAGCATGTATATATGTACTGGTATTGGTATTAGTATTGGGAGAAAAGGTACAGGTAATTAACGTGAGGATTATGACAATATGCGGGAAATACCCACCTGTGCATAAATTGGACTTGTCTGACATTGCCGAGGTCAGATTCCATTGAGGGAGTCATCATTATTAAAATTTAGTTAATTATTTTAAAAGATGGTACATTTTATCATCATCCTTAAAGAGGCTGTACATAATGTTGATATCTCACACAAGAAATATACGAGTTGTGGTCATTGTTTATCTGGAAAAAAACCACTGCAGGGAGAATAAACAACTTGAGGCTGCACCCCTCATGGTTTATTCTCCCTGCAGTGTTTTATTGTATGATAAACAACTCATACTTGTCGTTTATTTCCTAAATATATATCAACTCAATACGCTTACTCAGTATTCACCAGATGAAGGGACAAGATGTAGCCCTTAAACATCATTACAAAGAAGACAAGAAGTTGTTATCCATAAAAAAAGTGTCATGTATTCATGTTCTTCCAAATTCTATATGCCTATCAAAGACTTGAAAAGTTCTATGTTAGGAAAGAAGAGAGGCCTGCAGAGCTTCATAACAGCATCACTGCAGCTCATCATGGAGTCTCTTACCCTCAATCTTTGCATATTCTGAGATTCTGGTGTAGTTGACGAGTGCAGCATTCTCCAGACACTTCTTGATGACCTGGCGAACCTCCTCAGGGGAAACAGGGGTTACAATATCCTTCATTAACACCTGGAATAGGAACTTTAACATCAGGTCAGTCCAAAGTTCTTGCCTACCTCACTACCGGAAGGGCGTCGGTGTGAAGGTCTAAGGGTGAGGTTGGTGGGGCCTTGGGTGGGGTCTCTTTTCTAGGGTCAAATGTGAGTGGTCAGATGTAAGGGGTAGATGGGTGGTAGCCGGTAACACTGCATGGACACTAGTTACCCCAGTATATAGAGGCAATATAGGAATATAGGAATGTAGGAATGTCACTGACACTTAATTGTTACCCAAGTATATATAGGAATATAGGAATGTCACTTACACTAGTTACCACAGTATATATAGGCTATATAGGAATATCACTGACACTAGTTACCCCAGTATATATAGGAATGTCATGGACACTTGTTACCCCAGTATATATAGGCTATGTAGGAATGCCACTGACACTTGTTACCCCAGTATATATAGGAATATAGGAATGTCAAGGTCACTTGTTACCCCAGTATATATATATAGGCTATATAAAAATATAGAAATGTCATGGTCACTTGTTACCCCAGTATATATATGGGCTATATAAAAAGATAGGAATGTCAAGGACACTTGTTACCCCAGTATATTTACAGGCTATGAAAGAATATAGGAATGTCATGCACACCAGTTACCCCAGTATATATATGTAGGCCATACAATAATATTGGAATGTCATGCACACTAGTAACCCAAGTATATATTTAGGCGATATATACAAATATAGGAATGTCATGCACACTAGTAACCCAAGTATATATTTAGGCGATATATACAAATATAGGAATGTCATGCACACCAGTTACCCCAGTATATATATGTAGGCGATACAATAATATAGGAATGTCATGCACACTAGTTACCCCAGTATATATTTAGGCAATATATACAAATATAGGAATGTCATGGACACCAGTTACCCCAGTATATAAAATGCTATATAAAAAAAATGTCATGGACATAGCGTTACCTTTGAGCAAAATGCAAATATATCCCTGCTGTGTTAGTTGATAGGATTGTCATAGATAGTTGTTACCCAGCAGTATATACAATATAGATAGAAATGTCAGGCATTCAAGTAACCTACCATCAAATACCCCAATATATATCTGTTGTTAGAGTAACACATTTTTCATGCACACTAGTTACCTAGCAACAGATATCCCTATATCTCACTGTTAATACAGTAATACAATTTTCATGCACACAAGTTACCAAGCAACAAATATTCAATTATATCCCTGTTAATAGAATTGTCTCACAAACACATTAGTTACCTAGCAACAGATATCCCAAAATATTCCAGCTATTACAGCAATATTCTTGCATTATCATGCACACTAGTTACCTAGCAACAGACATCCCAATATATCCCTGCTGTTACATTGCAACTTATAGTTCAATGTATCCCCTTCAACCTTGTTACCTACTGTATACTCCTCTGTGTTCATAATTAGCATGAACGTCAAGGCATCCTTGTCATAACACTAGCATAGACTTATGTGGTCCTCAGATTCAAATACCATTGCAGAAACTATAGGAATACTGTGCCTTCAACCCCTGGTAATGTTGCTTGTAGTTACACAAATACTATTAAAACTCGAAACTACTTTCTATGCTACTACTTCCATAACTACTCAATATTTATATAAAACCTATTACTGTTACTACTACTACTACTACTACTACTACTACTACTACTACTCTACCACCACATCGTCACCACTACCACTACTACTACCACTACTACTATCCTGCTACTCTACCACCACATCGTCACCACTACCACTACTACTACTACTACTCTACCACCACTACTACTACTACTACTACTACTACTACTCTACCACCACATCGTCACCACTACCACTACTACTATCCTGCTACTCTACCACCACATCGTCACCACTACCACTACTACTACTCTACCACCACTACTACTACTACTACTACTACTACTACTACCACTACTACTATTACTATCCTGCTACTCTACCACCACATCGTCACCACTACCACTACTACTACTACTACTCTACCACCACTACTACTACTACTACTCTACTACTACCACTACTACTACTACTACTATCCTGCTACTCTACCACCACATCGTCACCACTACTACTACTACTACTCTACCACCACTACTACTACCACTACCACTACCACTACTACTACTACTACTACTACTACTACTACTACTACTATCCTGCTACTCTACCACCACATCGTCACCTCACAAAGGCCTGGTCTAACTAAAATGTCAATATTTACCCTTTCCAGTAGCGACAGTGTAGCTTTCAGTGCTCCCTCAGGTCGGCCGAAGGGGAAACAGTATCTGGAAGAAGATGTATTATGTCTGCACTGAAAAACATTGTGACAAAAAATAAATAAAATAAAACAAATTTACCATCACCCAAAGTGACTATGTTTCTGTGTATGTGTGTATCAAGAGCATTCATTGCATTATTCTGTCGGTTATACTGGATGACAGATGATAGTAGCTAAAATGGAACAGCGCCAAAACAGAACAGCCAATATTTTCCTGGTCCATATAAACTAACAGTGGTCTGTTTTGACCAGACAAATGGGACATTATGACCAAATTGGATGGTCCATTTGGTGATGGTTTTAACTTGCACCCGCAGACAATGACCATGGGCTAAGGTACCCAAATTTGTACTGCTGTTGTTAAAAATGTTAACAAGTATTTGTCACAAAGTGACGAAATGACCCCCGCCTGTATATACACCATAGTACCAAATGTGAAGACAATCCAGCGATTAGTTCTTGAGATATCGCGGCAACACCGTTTTCCAACTCCAAAAGCAGATTTGCCTGCTGTGACCTTGAAAATGGGGTCAAGGTCACCAAAACCGACTGGTGTCTGCGGAGTCTGTATATACACCATAGTTCCAAATATGAAGACAATCCACAGTTTAGTTCTTGATATATCGCGGCAACAAACAGGTGGGACGTACGTACGGACGTTCGGACGTACGGATGGTCGTGAATACTATATCCTCCGCTTCACACTTTCGCGCGGCGGGGGACAATAAATGAAAATAATATCACATATATTATTCTGCTATTACATTTGGAAACTCAAATACCTGAAGTGGGTGATCTGGTTCTCTAAAAGAATTCGTAGTCGCTCCTTGATTTCATCAAACTTTGCCTTCTCCCGCTGAAGAACGGTGCCTATCCCGTCCGGCCTGGAAAAGTGAGTGAGAGTCGGTGAGTTGGGTTTCATGCCGCTTTTAACAGCATTCCAGTTATATCATGCATGTTGGCTTAAAGTGGGAGGAAAGGCCCAAATGATTGGAGTTTATGATGTTTACCACTTTGGTGAAACCCACGAGCACAGATAATCACAATCATAGGCTTCTTGCGTGCCCAAGAGATGCAACTATGTACATAACTGCAGCACCTTAAACAACTGGGCTATCCATGCCAGATAGGTTCATTCTGCCTCCATGAATATAATGTACAGTTACTTCACAGCAGAGCCAGACACCAAGAATACATCAAGAGTAAGGCAAAGACAACCTTGACATTATTGCTGAACAATACTACCATATTCTGGAATCTCTCCACCTAGCAGTGTTTGTTTGCGAGAAGTGGCAAAAAGATACAGGTAACTGCATTGCAATTCGTATTGTGATATATTGGGAGTGTTTGAAAGCGATTGACAATGATCATATATGCTATTTTCTACATACTAAATAAATATTGTGATGTCATGTCAGGCTGAATGATACAAATAATCACAAAACTTGATAAATTTTTTAAGCTAATTTACCAGAACATAGACACAATATTGCAATACGTTTGAAAAACATATTACAGCATAACAGATATAACAGTGATACTTTACAGTCCAGGGCCCCGTTCCACAAAGCGATTGTAGCTCTAAGACGATCGTAACTCCCATACCTTAAAATAGACTTATGACTGTCGTAGGGCTACGATCGCTTTGTGGAACGGGGCCCTGAAAAAAACAAAACAACCTAGATACAGATCAGGTCCCCGTTCCACAAAGCGATCGTAGCTCTAAGACGATCGTTACTCCCATACCTTAACATAGGCTAACGACACTCGTAGTGCTACGATCGCTTTGTGGAACAGGGCCCTGAACTAATCACAACCTGGTTGCACTAACCTGTTCCCATGAACATGACTTGCGCAGAAAGCAAAGCTGTAGTGGATGAGGGTCGGGTCGATGAGGATGCCCTTCTCCGCTCTCTCCAGCAGGTCGCTAAGGTAACACAAGTGTCGGTGACAACCCCGAACCCCATACCGGGCACAGTACTCATCCAGACAGAACAGCTGCCCCGGACTGAACCATCCCTGCAACAACAAATGGTTTCTTGGGATGAGGAAATGTATTTAGCATTGTTTAGATGTAGTGCAATCTTGTTGAGCTGGACCGTTCCTTTTATGATGGATATCTGGATTAACAAACAATGGGGACAGAGTACTGTAACTTGCGTATTTTGAGAAGTAGGTGGTAGTCGTCTGGTAAGCCGGTTTCCAGGCTAAAAGGTTTTAACTGCATTGAGATAAACATTGCATATATTGAGATGCTCTTTGCTTGTATTCCAACATCAGTGGGAGCACTTGGAAAAGATTAACATGACTGCAGTTTTAACTAAGTGGTCTGTTACGACCCGATGAACATAGGTCAGATGATGACTTGGAAAAGGTTAAAATGGTTGTATTTGTATCTGACAACACCGCCTTCTATGCAGACAACAGTGAGTGAGTGTGTGAGTGTGTGTGAGTGAGTGTGAGTGTGAGTGTGTGTGGTTTTATGTTGCTTTTCGCAGTATTCCAGTAATACCACAGTGGGGGACACCAGAAATGGGCTTCACACATTGTACCCATGTGGGGAATTAAACCCAAGTCTTTGGCGTGAAGAGTGAATGCATCAACCGCTGGGCTACCCACCGCGCCCCCCCCGACGCCATAGTGCTGTATAGTGATAAGCAGTCCATTTGACTGCCAGATATGCTATGTTGCTGATCAGGTAGCGCAGAAAAGTAAGGGCCATTCCTTTCCCCAACTGGTATCAAATCCAGGAAGCATATCCAATCTCTGTTCAATCTTCCTTAACACATCTCATATTACTTTCTGTGCCAAGCCAGGGCCCGGGATCATGAAAGTGGTCTTAGCTCAAATTTTGCTAAGCACAAATTTTGTCTTAAGTTTTTAAGATTTTGCTTAGCTAAGATTCGGTGTAAGACTGGATGTGGAAACGGTCTTAGCAAAATCTTAGCTAAGTCTAAGTCTAAGACCTTTGCCATAGGGACGCGCGCACGTTAAACCGTAATACGGTAATCATTGGAACTCTTCAGTGAAGGGAGATGAGAAATTCGTGTTGTTTGTAAACACAGCTGTCGCGTGTCGCGTGTCGCGTGTGACATGTCGTCTGCGGTAGCTGTCAACCATGGATGACAAGACACGAAAGGTTAATTGGACTAAGGAAGAAGAGGTGCTGTTGGTGGAAGAGGTTTCAAATAGGGAGGGCATTCTGTTTGGAAAGCTGGACGGATGTCAGCGGACCGGACAGCGGAAGATCAAGCTTTGGGAAGAGATTTCTAGCATCCTAAACTCGTGAGTAAAACACTGAGTTACTGCAAATTTACAGATCGAAAGTTATCTTTGCTTGCAAAATTTGTATCCACATCCTACCCTTGTAAAGATATATACTGTTCTTATGGTCGTCGAAACGATATTTGCAGTCATCTATTATGCAAAGCTATGTCGTTTTACAGCTGATGCATACGGGTGTACAGCAGTGGAACTACCTTATGTCCTTGCTTTATCTCTCTCTCTCTCTCGCCAAGCTTCCGCCGTGCTTGACAATAGCATATGAAAATTGGCTAAACTGTTACACATAGCCAAAGCTACGAATAAAGCTTGAATAATCATATCACATAATCCATGATAATCAGGAAAAGGCACATTATTTAACACCTAACATGAAGGCATAAACAAGACATACCGTAATTATTTACATGTGAGCCAACATTAGTTTACTGACATGGATATGAAAAAAGTGAAATAAATGAAATTGACAACAAAGCATGACAGAAGCACAAACCAGGAGGCGATATCACTACGCTTGTTACAGTCTGTATTTACAGATGAGGCAAGGCCATCATCATTTGAAAAAATAATGCAAACACATATTGCGATCAGTTTTCATGTTTATTTTTGTGTTATTGACATCAAACAATGGCTAGCAACATTCACCCTCTTATTTTGAAAATTAATACTTATCATAATTAGAGATGATGGTTTGACAGGTAAATTGGCTACTTGGTTCTTCTGAATGCTGTTGAATACACCTTTTCTCCAAGTTATTAATCTTGAGCATGTTAAGATCACAATTACATTTATAAAGTAATAATCAGTGAAAAGTTTTATGCAGTGAAATGTAATATTTAGCTTGAACAATGACTTCAGTATCCTCCATTGTTATGATTATTTGTCATTTTCAATATTGGATTATTCTTACAGAAGAGGCACTTCCGGAAATCGGTCGATTGGGAAAGTGAAAAAGAAGTATCAGTATATTATGCAGAAAGGTAATCAAATAATCAATTTTACACACAACTACATCCCATATACTAGATCTATATGTCAGTCCAACCTACTGACCATCCAACCAGAGCTTACAGATCATGAAAAACTCATTTGTGACATAATAAGTATCTGACTTTTTTAACAGTTATGTTAGGATTTATGACTGTAATACTTCACCAATAACCATTAATATTGGACAATGTTATCTTCATTGATTTTAATACAGAAACAACTGTCATCAGGAAATTGTCTGATTTCATCAGCTTTTTAGAATAAATTATTCTATATCTCATTAACAAGTTAACAAAGTATCCTTAAGACATTTGGAAGACAGTTTATTCCTAGAATCTGAAACTGTTTGTTTTGATGGAAATATTTTTTCAACATTATTAGCAAAGGCGAAGAGGAGCTCTGCAGTGCGACCCCCAACAGGTGGCGGTCCTCGTCCAGCCTCGACTACCCTGCCAGAGCAGTTGGTGCTGGACAATATGGAGGGAAGACCAAATCTATGTGGTATTGAAGGGGGCATAGATGCTGAAGGTTAAACTGAACTTACATGACCATAAGATGTTTTGTCTCTCCATGCAATTAATTGAAAACATATTGATGGCTAAAACAAAATGTCATGCTTATATATAGGTCAAATATCACCTTGTAAGAAGGTGAATCATGACATGACATTGTCACAATAAACCATGTCACACAGTTATGCTAGAGGTATGATAATTGGTTCTCAGGCAATGGTTTTTGAAAATATAGTGCGGGCGGGCAGTGTCTTTTTTGGGGGGGTGGGGGGGGCTTGGGTGTTCAAACTAGTATGTAACCAATAAACAGTTGTGTAATCAATAAGCAATTGTGTAAAATCAACCTTGGAAAGGGCCTCCCTATATAAATGTATTCCTTTATGAGTAAAATACTGGAATACAGTATTTGACTACCGTTGGACTTGAAATATTTAAGGATTTTTTCATTTTTTTTAAAAATGGAAATAAAAACGAAACATGCAACAAACTTTATGATGATGTGGGCGGTGCCTGAGAACCAAGACTATTTTTTTTTAAAGCCTAATTCAAAGATACTTCAACTTATTCTTCTCATTGTGAATTTTACCTCTCTCTCTCTCTCCACAGAGTTGACAGTACAGGGTCCAAATACATGTATATATGTATATCTTAATGAATTATAGAAATATCCTACGTGGGAAATATTTCAACCATCTGCTTGTATGGAGCCTGTATGTTAACTCACATTCAGTTGAATATTTCACTGAACTAATTATATGTTACATCATGTGTACTTACTTACTTACTTACTTTGGAGATTTAACGTGCGCTTTCCGACTGATGCGTATTTCGCACACGGGCCCGGTCAGGCCATTTAATGTTTTTCTGAAAGTGGTCTGTGCAACCCAAGAGGGGGGTTTAGGGGTTGCTTATATAGAATTTGGGAATTTTGAGATTTGGAATAGATGCCGATGGGATTGGGGAGGAGAACTAAGGGAGCTGGGTATGGTGGATGTTTGTTTGTTTATGTGATTTTGATTTGGTAGGTTATTGTGTTTTTAGATGCGTTTTATTAGTTCCGTTTTTATTAAGAATACGCCTAAGGCCTTGAAGTTTTCTAGTTTATTTTGTGGGTTTAGTATTGCTTCTAGAGTTAGAGCCTTGTTTAGATTGAGGGTGGTTTGTAATGCGGTTTGATGTGTTAGGTAGTGTGTGCAGTGGATGAGTGCGTGTTCTGCGTGGTTTGCAGTGTGGGCAGTTACCTGTAGTGTGTTTTTTAAATTTTTTTAGGTGGTTATTTAGGTTGGTGTGTCCTGTTTGGAGTTTAGTGATTACTCTGTCGATTTAAGTCACATAGGTGTGTCTATATCAAATTGACCCATTTTTTATTGAATAATGTGCCCTTAATGTCATGCCATCTTTCATAATTAGTGCCCACCTGTTAAATTGTTTCATACACATTACTTAGAAGTTGACAAAGAAGAGACAATTTATGGATAACAACTCTTCATGTGTTCTCTGGCCATCTTGATCTTACAGTATTATTCTCCTGTTGTCGTTGTTTAAACTACTCATGTTAATCTCTCTGACATATGCAATTGTTGTTACTGTTAATCCTCCATCAACAATAAGTATTCTTTACAGTAAATGAAGAAGTTGTTATCCTTAAATTGCCTCTACTTCGCCCACCTGGTAGACTGATTTAGGTTGTTGTTGTTTTCTAACTGAAGTAGCTCTGGGCAATGTGGTCTCTGATGCCAAAGCCATCATTTCTCGGACACTGCTGCTGTTGCTGATCTGGACCCTGAACTGTCAATCATCTGCATGATTAATTACTATTTCCTGTTTCAAAATTCCTATATTATGTAAAATTGCACAGGAAACAACATATTTACATGCTCTGGTTGGATTGGTTCTCAGTCCCAAAGATAGACAGGGAAAGCGTCTCTTTAAAATACCAAAAGTTTGTTCAATCAGAACACGTGTTCTGCAGAGAGAATAATTGCATCTGTCTCTGTGTCTGATGTTGCCAGTGTTGGGGTAGGGAGTCATCAGGTATCGTCTACAGGGGTATCCAGAGTCACCCAGCAGGAATCCATCATGAACACCTGAAATATATATGCGCAAAATGTTTTGATATGTTTTTAAACTTTAGTTCAGAAAGGACAACTATGATAACAGCCCAATTATACCTACAATTTCTAAATATGAAATGAATTTGACAAGAAACTTGGTTATGTAGTTATCATATATGTTCATGGTAATAGTAATTAGCCTTTGTCTTTTTGGATGTTTTGGACTTGAGTCAACACTGAATATAGATGCTTATATTCATAGAAATCCTTTTAGTATGGTTGACATTTCAGGGAAACCTTTATTGATTTTCTAAGGATATGGATAAAGAATTCATCTTGGGTCACAGAATATCTTGTAAAGTTGGATATATGTATGTAGAGGTTTATCATGTGAGTAATATCATTGACCACATGTATTACTGTTTGCAAAATGTCTATTGGAAACATATTTACATTCAAATTTGCAGGGGTACCGGTATTGTTTACTGTATGTCAAGGATTTGTTAAATTTCACTATTCCGCTATTGATCATAAATCATGATATGTGCCCTTGAGACATAACATTATTTGAGATCAACATCAACATCATATCCTGGTTTATGAAATTTATGTAAAGTCTTTTAGTGAAACTTTACAGGATTTCAGAAGCGATGATTTGGAGTGAAAGAAGCTCACATAAAATACAACTGTTATTGAATACATCAAGGGAGTGCACTCTTGAATGAAATGCATTTATGTGAGATTGGTGTGGATTTGTAAATCCAAAATAGCTCTGTAAAATGTCCAATATCCGACTCACACTTCATCGACCAACATGCAACATGTATTTTGTCACTATTTATGATTGCCCCATGTAAAAGGTATTGAAATCAATCTTGCACTACCTAGAATGACAAGATCTCTTATGAATGATACGAATGACTGGTGGGAGAATGGAAAATCATCTTGGTTGTCAGTTTTAAAACATCCTTCAACATTTATTTTGTGTCAGGCAACATATTTTTCAACAGTCTGAAGCATAAGCAAATTCTGGGATATTGTATTTGTTTAATGAAATCTCAGCCTGTACGTGTATATACACCCATTAACAGGTGCGGATTTTGTATCAAATTTACCAAAACATATGTTTTGGGTATTGTCAAATTAATATTGCAGATGCTAAAATTACATACACATCCATTCGAAAGCTTATTTGTGTATTAATAAATTATTTGTCATTGTGAACATACACCTTGTTTTTTATTCAGTTATCATAAATGCTATAATCTGACCTGTACTGTAGTATCATTCATACATATATTTACAGGAGGGGTATGAATTCAATGTTGATGGAAATTTTTCAATTTATGAAAAATCATTTTTGAAAACAAACATCATTTGTTATTTCAATTACCTGAACATTCAGAGAATGAAATCCCTTTCTGTTGACAAAGTCAGCCTCATTGACCTTTGTCATTTGGATTTTAATCTGTGTGCCGTCAACATGGCCAAGCACATTTGGAAATCCTAAAGAAAGTACTGTATTCGACGTAATAAGCGCCCAGGGCGCTCTCAAAATTAGGAATAGGGGGCTCTTATTAGAATATTATTTTGGTAAAAAAACCAGCGTTGAATGCTAAATTTCGCGGTTTATGCTGACAGCCTGAAATGTTTATGTACGACAGATATATTTTTCCAGAATTACATTCCCCATAATTAAGGGTGAATATAACACATGAGTGTGTATTATACGCGAATATATAAGTCTTGTGTAGATTGATCAATTGGAAGGGGTGCTAATTGGGATTGCTTACTAGCCAACATATTAGCAAATATCGCCATGGGCGCTTATTAGAGCGGGGCGCTTATTACGTCGAATACGGTAATTCATTAAATATTAGCAGCGATCTGAGCATGCTTGTGGAACTGAAGCAGAGCAATGTAGTTTCATCACTTTTAGCACGAATACGGTAAAGTGTGAGTGAGTGAGTGAGTGAGTGAGTGAGTGAGTGAGTGAGTGAGTATGGTTTTACGCCGCTTTTAGCAATATTCCAGCAATATCACGGCAGGGGACACCAGAAATGGGCTTCACACATTGTACCCATGTCGGGAATCGAACCCGGGTCTTCCACGTGACGAGTGAACGCTTTAACCACTAGGCTACCCAACCGCCCCTGAATACAGTAAAGTAATTTATAGGTGGCACCAGTGAAGCGTTCTAATTTTAGATAAAAATGGCTGCCTCTGGAGACTCGGGAACACACGGTATGTATCCTTATCGTGTATGTGTTTATTCAGAGTGTTATATTAATGCTCAAATGTCAATTTTGGGTGTATTACTTACCGGCAATAGCATGGAAGGCAAGTTTCCCGTCATGTGATCTCTGGCCTGTCAGGAAAGCGATGAAGCTTGACGACAGCTGCCGGCTGTTGCTTTGCTGATACAGAACGACTGAGCAACTAATAAGTGAAAAGCCCCAGTGGCAACAAACTGAAGGAATATCAAAACTTGAATAATAGGTGGGAGACTGTGGGAACGCTGAGTGGGGTGTGCCAGTTCATCACCGATTAAACCAACGATGAAAAAAATGGTAGAACGACGAAATCTATATCTCCCAAAGAGCTCTTCGTCGTTGTACAGATCAAGAGGGTTGAATCGGTCTCGAAATGTCCGATGAATTGTTATTTTGTCCTTTTTAGCCCTTAGGCGACGCATGAGGCGAACAACCTCCGCCATCTTTCTTGCTACAAATTTTGTCTTAAGTCTACTCAGGTTCAGTCTTAGGACTTAAGATAAAATTTTGTCTTAGACTTAAGATATTCTCATAGATTGAGCTTTGTGATCCCCGATTTAAGACAAAATTTGGTCTTAAGTCTAAATCTTAAGAGTTAAGACAAAATATGGTCTTAAGTTAGTTTCATGATCCCGGGGCCAGGTGATCACACTGCAGACATAATTTGTGAAACTATTTCTGAAAAGAGAAACACTTAATAAAGTAGGGAAGCATCCAGCTCACCAGACAGGTGTATGCATCGTTGAGTCGGTAGTCTAGTGTCAGGGTCTGCAGTGTCTTGAAGAGGTCATGGTGTTCAAATATGCAGGGGTTGGCCTGTACAAACTCATCCAGACCGTGTTTCCGAGCCCGGTCCGCATCTGAAACCACAAAGGGGTGTGAACATCAGTATGTAATGCTTGGGCTTGAGGACTTCTAGAAATCAAGCAGCCATCAGAACTGTAAGAGATCACTTAAGTTGGTCATTTAAATTTTCGAAATGACACACTATAAAAAACAGAATGACATCAGGGAACCTTGCATAAAGACGTAGCGCTAAGATATCTGTTGAGTGAGTGAGTGAGTATGATTTTACGCCGCTTTTAGCAATATTCCAGCAATATCACGGCGGGGGACACCAGAAATGGGCTTCACACATTGAGATATCTGTTGAAAGCAGCAACATATTTGATCATATTTGCAGGGTCTTTGCCTTGTAGATTATTCTAAGGTATCAAGATTTCCTTCAGGAGAGAAACACACCCAAAATGGGGGTTATCAGAAGCTCTATATTTCCAATTTTGTAAATTTCTGCATTGCAATTTATCCATGAAAAGATAATAACGCGTCATACCAAAAGAAGTTAAAAGATGGTACTTGTTGTTACTTGCCTGGCGTTTGGCATTAAGGGGTTAAAACAAGGACTGGTTAGCTTGGAGTCAGTATACTGTGTCGGAGTGGGGTATTCATGTTAAACTGCAGCATGGTATATCAGTGGGCTAGCACCATAAAATGGGCATAAGTGTGGCAGACAAATACACATGAATGCACATCGCTATTTAAGTGCAATAATCTTGAACACGAAGATAAACCCCATTTCACCTCACCCCACCTGGTCTTATTTCTATACCTGATTATTATTAGAGCTACCTCAAACCCAGGAAATGGCAGCCACCATGTCAAACAAAGCTAGGAAATGTACATCAATGAAAGGATAAGGTACTTTATAATATCACAAAACTACTGCAAGAGTGGTGAACTATTAGAACAGTATCACAACAGAGCTATCCCAGTGTTAAGAGTGAAATAGCCCCAGCAAAAGATCAGTAACATTTCTGAGGCTTGAGCAAGTCTAAATCTATTTCTTAGGTTTTTTTGTTTGTTATCTAAAGCAATATTCCAGTCATTTGACTGAGGTATGTAAATCCAGACAATCAAGTGATTGATACTATGAGCAACGACTCCTCGCTTGCGGACAATGCTACCCTATCAACCAAATCTATGAACCTGACCTACTGATCCAATAATTCCATTCAGAACCTGGCCCTGTTCCACAAAGCGATGTGCAACAACTATTGTAAGCTTATGTTAAAGTATATCAGTTATGGTCACTTTAGCGCCAAGATTGCTTTGTGGAATGGGGCCCAATTTGCTGGGAACCTTTTCCAACCCAGAATCCTGAAGGGGTCTATTTCTTAGGTGTGTTTCACTGTTTGTTGTTTAATGCTATATTGCAGCTATATGACAAAGTCTAGGCTGTTGTGGACAGTGGTACCTCCTTGCATTCTGGAGATCTGCGTGTTGCTTATCTTGTTTGTCTGGACAACGGGAGGCGTTGGTTTGTGGGTTTGTCCAGTGGCTCTGTAGATCGCCTGCACCCACAACGTTCTCTCAGACTCATCGTCCGTGGCAAACATCACATTGTCTCCCTCCTTCACCAGGTTGAAGAAACACTTGCCGCCCTCCAGCTCTGCAGATGTAGTAAGATGCAGTAAGGTATGTCACTTAAAACATGAAACACTATCTTGCACCCAGTCAGCTTCTCAGAAGCAGTGACAGGGTAGAGGAACAAAATACTGCACTAAAGAGTTGAGGTAATTGCAGAATAATTTTATATTCCTATTTCCATTTATTAAATCCAAATTCTGGAAACAGTTGTACAATCAGGGAATGATCAGATGTTGTTTTTAGTCACAGTCATCAATATTCCAGGTTTATCCTAGCGGTCTGTAAATAAACTCTAGGTCAGACACAGCTGGGTCTGCTTGCATGAGCAACAAACGCTCCATGGTAATGGAGCACGATGACCCACACCGGGCAAGAAACTGTAACCCTCCAATCGTCATTTTGGCGATAACAATTTATAAACTTGGTCAAGATGTCAATGAAGATGAAAATTTTGCCATTAAAGATCATGAGATCTAACTTATAATTTTAAGTACCGTATTCGACATAATAAGCGCCCAGGGTGCTCTCAAAATTAGAAATAGGGGGCTCTTATTAGAATATTATTTTGGTGATACACAACAGAGATGAAAGATTGTAAATTTCGTGGTTTATGCTGACAGCTTGAAATGTTTATATACGACAGATATATTTTTCCAGAATTTAATTGCTCATAATTAAGGGTGCATATAACAAACGTATCATGCACGAATAAATAAGTCTTGTGTACATTTATCAATCGGAAGGGACGCTTATTGGGATTGTTCACTTGCAAATATATGAGCAAATATATCGCCGTGGGCTCTTATTAGAGCGGGGTGCTTATTATGTCGAATACGGTATATTTCCCGTTTAGCTAGGTATTTTACGTGGGTCAATAACACGGAAAATGACCCAGAAATAGCAATCAGCTGTACCTACATTTTGGTCTCATGATCTATCAGTGGTTCACTTAAATATACCCTAGTAATAGTAATAAGTCAAAGAGACTGTTTGTGCATTTTGTGGGCATCAAAACTTATTATCTGCATTAGTAATATCCACCCCACTCTACACAGCTGCATTTTTTCTTGTAACTATGGTATTCAGTTATACACGAAGGTATTGATGAATGCTGTACACACCTGGCAGAGGTTCACAGTAGTCGACAGTGAAGCCATCCAGTTGCATCATTTCTGTTGGGTCGGGCTTCTTCTCCCGGTAGCTGCACATGGCAAATGTGTACTGGGACACCTACAACCACAGGAAAGCAAAGTTTGTTTGTTGTTTAATGCTGCAATCAGCAATATTCCAGCTGAATGATAATGGAGACTGAAACAAACAATCCAGTGATTATCATCATGAGCATCGATCTACACAATTGGAATACAATGACATGAATCAACCAAGTCAGCGAGCCTGACCACCCGATCCCGTCAGTCGACGCTTACAACAAGTATAGTTGCATACGACAAACAGTCACCCCTTTTGACAAGCATTGGTTGCTGAAGAGCAATTCTAAACAGGATCTTGTTGGGGTTATGTCATAAAGGGAAAGTTAAGTGCTCTCATAAGGTTTCTCATGTATGTGTTAGAGAGCATCTCAGTCCATATTGTGTAATAGCCTTGCTAAGTAGGCCAACATCAGTGTATGACAGTTATCTCCCTTTGTACTGCATTCAGTGACTTACTTGAACAAGGACGTAATATCGCCTCTTCCACTTCTTCCAAACCGTCTTCCCTAGGCCGTACAAATAACTGAAAGAAATAGTGAAACAAACTAAATATGTAAAAATGTTATTCCATCAAAGAAGAGAGTGAGAGTGGATGAATCTGGATTTACACCAGTCAGTATGTGATGGTGATAAGGCTTGAAAAGCTCTATACACCAAACAAGAACAGGCTTTGAATGTAAGGGGGTCCTACTTGTATTAAAATCTATGGACCCTGTCATAAAGTAATTGAATGAATGCTATTCAATAATAATAAGAATAGTAAGGCTATTCACCTATTGCCAATGCTGTGTACATGTGATGGGGTGTAATTTTGTTTGTCTACGATTTCGTTGCCGGTTCAACAATCATAGCACCAAATTCGTACTTTTTTATGTAACTACGTGCTGTTGACATTGTGCCTTGCCTTGCCTTACCTGTATGACAGTGAAGTAAGAAACTGACAGTAAATGGTCTTAAACGATTACCGGATATTTCTTCGTCCCCTTTTAGACCCCTAGGTCTTTACCTCCTATGTTCTTACATAAGGGCGATGACAAGCATCTGTTGACTTTCATGCTTCATTTTGAGCACTGAAGTTGCCAATGTTGGAGCACTGACTTGAGACATGTTCAGTGTTCATTCTAGAGTGTCACAAGAATTATCAGATACAGGTGTCGGTTTGTTGTATGGTTTCTAATTCAAAAGAATCTCATATCAACTATAACAAGCACTTGCAACAGAAACATCCTGCTCTACTTGCCGGTCTGCATACTCTGGACACAAGCATTGAGAAAAGGTCATGTTACAAAACAAGGTCCATCCCAAATGGCCCCCACCTGTTTTTGTAAATTACCCTGATTTTATCATGGGTAGTGCCCCTTGTTTTGGGCAACAAGAACTAACACTGCATGTTATAAAGGTAAGAGGGCACAGAGTTAAAACAAAAACTGTCAAAGTACAATAACAATATCCAGCTAAATTGTTCTTCCAAGGTGCTGCAAGGGCCATGTTCTGTTCTTCGCCATCTGGCACTGCCATCCAATCCCCTACATCACACCTCTGAGGTCAAGCTTGGGGTCCTGGGGAAGCCCCATGGTGTTTCATTAAGGAATTCAATTAATCAAAAAGTTAAAACATGTTCCACATGGCTTGGGCAGGAAAATGAGGTAAAACCCACCCGCAGTGTTTCATGTTTTGAGGTTTATCCATGCGTACAGCTATTTTTATTGTCAAGTTGTCAGGGAAATTCTTGGCCGTTGTCATCTTGTAGGTTTCCGCCATGCGACTACTATTGGCTGTTGGTCGAATCACTACCTACAAAGTATGAACATCTCAGATGAAACGACATCAAAATTTCGGGTCCTTTGCATTGTTTCTGGTCACTAATTCATGTCAGGCGAGGCTGAAAATAGCCTGAAATGTGCATAAGATACCAAATTCACGTAATAAGCGCCCAGGGCGCTCTCAAAATTAGAAATAGGGGGCTCCTATTAGAATATTATTTTGGTGAAAAAAAACAGAGTTGAAAGATAAATTTCGTGGTTTATGGTGACAGCCTGAAATGTTTATGTACGACAGATATATTTTTCCAGAATTTAATTGCCCATAATTAAGGGTGAATATAACACACGAGTGTGCATGTACACAGGGTGCTAATTAGGATTGTTTACTAGCCAATATATCAGCAAATATCGCGGTGCTTATTACGTCGAATACGGTATCACCTGGATGGTAACAATACATACCTCACATACTTTTATAATCGTACATGCAGAAATAGAATAATAATGTCTAAAACAGGCTGCTTTTGATAGTGAAAATGAGTGAGTGAGTGAGTGAGTGAGTGAGTTTGGCTTTACGACACATTTAGAAATATTTCAGCAATATCATGGCAGGTGACACCAGAAATGGGCTTCACACACTGTACCCATGTGGGGAATCCAAGTTGTACAATGCCATACTCTGCAATATTCCAGCTACATGATGGTGGCATGTAAATGTCTGGACCAATCAGACTAGTGATGGCTATCATGAACAACGTCCTACCCTTTGGGATACAATGATCAACCTGGGCACAGAGTCTGACCACCCTATTCATTTAGTAAAATGACAATTAGAAATAACCTGAAATACCTTTGGAATTGTACATGTAGAAATAGAATGATAATTTCTAAAAAAGACTGCAACACCCACACTAAAAGACAATATAATCGTAGACACTTTAAGTTCATGTCAATCAACAACTCTCTTGGTAATCACAGCTTTGGCTCTTGTTGGTGAAGTAGTCATGAGAATGCTGTTGTTGATCATGTTCGATTGTTGTTCAATGCCATACTCAGCAATTTTTCAGCTAAATGACAGCGGCCTGTAAATGTCTGGACTATTAAACCAGTGATTGATATTATCAGCAACGTCCCACCCATAGGGATACCATGACATGAAATAAACCAAGGCGCTGAGTCTGATCACCTGATTCAGATGGATGCCCAACAGTATGATGGGGACCTGGGTCCACTTGCACAAAGCGAACCTAACGCTAAGATGTTTGTAACTCCCATTCTTTAACATAGGCTTACGATAGTCTCAGCGCTAAGTTGATCGTAACTCCCATTCTTTAACATAGGCTTATGATAGTCTTAACGCTAAGTTGATCATAACTCCCATTCTTTAACATAGTCTTACGATAGTCTTAGCGCTAAGTTGATCGTAACTCCCATTCTTTAACATAGTCTTACGATAGTCTTAGCGCTAAGTTGATCGTAACTCCCATTCTTTAACATAGTCTTACGATAGTCTTAGCGCTAAGTTGATCTTAACTCCCATTCTTTAACATAGGCTTACGATAGTCTTAGTGCTAAGTTGATCGTAACTCCCATTCTTTAACATAGGCTTACGATAGTCTAAGTGCTAAGATCAATTTGTGCAAGTGGGCCCAGGACTCCTGTGTGGGAAGGTGCAATGTAATGGAGTCCTCACTTTGCCCAGCTCCTTGTCCTCCAGGCTGAGCATGCCGGAGCTCTCTGTGTACAACTTCACCTTCACAACTGGCAGTGGGTGTGTAGTGGTGAAGTCCCCCTGTGTGTCCCAGCTGAAACAGACAGGGTAGCAGAAGTAATAGCCTATGCTTCACGGGGTAATGGAGATCTATTCTACCCTGAAACATTCATGCTGCAAAAGAGTTCTAATACATGATCATAACACATACTCAAACACTACGGATGTCACCATACAACTATCTCCCGATATGATCTTGCGATACTTTGTTCACAATATGATACATATCGCGTTACTTAATTTGCAGTTATTTTGCATGAATTTTATATTTCATGGGACATAAACACTATTTAAAAAGGCTTGAAACTTTCTAAATATCTGGTCTCATATAAATATCAAACACTACAGAGGTCATCATACGACTATCTCCCGATATGATACATATTGCGATAATTTGTTCACGATATGATACATATCGCATTACTTAATTCGCAGTAATTTTGCATGAATTTTACATTTCATGGGACATATACACTATCTAAAAAGGCTTGAATATCTGGTTTCATATTTGAGAATAAATATCACATTTCAATCAATTGTATGCAAATTTCAGTTAAGACTGGAGTGTTAGTTAGAACAAGATTCATCTGGAGCCGACATATCCCACATTCTGGTGCAACTCGGAAATGTAGTTTTGCTACTTATACCCCACATTTGGTTCATTGCCATTGTGCACGTTCAGTTCAGTGGAGAAAAATATAATGCTGTTCAGTATTTTTCAGTATCCCAAATCATCAAAAGGCACCAGTTCATCAATAAACTGATCTGTATAGCAAGTTTCATCTGGAAATATTCAATGGACGGATGGACGGAGGGACATACTGATTACTACATTCCCCCCTGACATTCAATCTAACAGCTGTTTTCTACCAATTTTCGGTTTGTTTTGATTCTTTTACAAGGGTAGATTGAAACATTTATAAAACATCTCTTTCATTTAATCAACAAATTATCTTCTATTAGGATGAAAAATAAATAATAAAACACAACAACATCTTGCAACAAGCTCTTCTGATACAAAAATTTAAACGTTTTCCAAAAGTAATGTTGATGTCATAGGTGAGGTGAAATTGGGTTTAACGTCGCGTCCAAGATTATTGCACTTATATAGCGATGTGCATGCACGTGTGTGTGTGTGGCTGCTTGTACTAGTCCGGACTGATGCCGATTTATAGTGCTAGCCCACTCAGATACCATGCAGCAGTTTATCATGAATACCCCACTCAGACACAGTATACTGACTCCGAGCCGACCAGTCCTTGTTTTAGCCCCTTAATGCCGAGCGCCAGACAGGGTAACAACAAGTACCATCTTTTAACGTCTTTTGGTATGACGCGGCCGGGGATCGAACCCCCCGGACCTTCCGCTCTCTGGGTGGACACTCTACCACTAGACCACGGAGGCGGTCTGTTGAAGTCATGAGTACAGTGTATGTGTTGCTGACATACCATGGTTTAGATGCCTCGGCCTGGTCAGTCTGGAGTTTTTCCCCTCCCTCCACCTCCATCGTGCAGTATACAATCTTGTTAGGGGCCAGGGACTTCAGACCCTTCACCTCGCTCACGTGCACCTGTCAGACACAAATACACACTCTAAAGATATCCTCAAACAGTTGTTTCTATAATTGTGAGAACGTATTTTTTTTATATGACATATTGATATTTGAAATGAAAGAAACTTTTATTTGATCTCAGTAGGGTGAAACTGACAAAAAAGAATCATTTCTTGGGAGTTTCATTTTATGGCAAGAGTTACTTCCCTTCCCATATCAACCCTGAAGGTTTTGATTATTACTGAAATCTGTAAATAGCTTCGTTACAAATAATTCTACTCCACATTTGTATACATTGGGTGGATGGATTTGTACATCCTTGTGTACTTTGTGGTGTGTTCAGTCAACCTGTACTGTGATGTGTACTCTTTGATGTATACAACTATGTGTACTGTGTGCTGTGTGGTGTGTACTGTGTGGTGTGTATGCTGCTATGTGTACTGTGTGGTGTAATGTGTGGTGTGTATGCTGCTATGTGTACTGTATAGTGTGTGGTGTGTACTGTGTGGTGTACTGTGTGGTGTGTATCCTGCTATGTGTACTGTGTGGTGTGTACTGTGTACTGTGTGGTGTGTATGCTGCTATGTGTACTGTATGGTGTGTATGCTGCTATGTGTACTGTGTGGTGTGTATGGTGCTATGTGTACTGTGTGGTGTGTATGCTGCTATGTGTACTGTGTGGTGTGTATGCTGCTATGTGTACAGTGTGGTGTGTATGCTGCTATGTGTACAGTGTGGTGTGTATGCTGCTATGTGTACAGCGTGGTGTGTATGCTGCTATGTGTACAGTGTGGTATGTATGCTGCTATGTGTACTGTGTACTGTGTGTGCTGCTATGTGTACAGTGTGGTGTGTATGCTGCTATGTGTACTGTGTGGTGTGTATGCTGCTATGTGTACTGTGTGGTGTGTATGCTGCTATGTGTACAGTGTGGTGTGTATGCTGCTATGTGTACTGTGTGGTGTGTATGCTATGTGTATGCTATGTGTACTGTGTTGTGTGTACTGTGTGTGGTGCTATGTGTACAGTGTGGTGTGTATGCTATGTGTACTGTGTGGTGTGTATGCTGCTATGTGTACTGTGTGGCGTGTATGCTATGTGTACAATGTGGTGCATATGCTGCTATGTATACTGTGTGGTGCGTGTATGCTGCTATGTGTACAGTGTGGTGTGTATGCTATGTGTACAGTGTGGTGTGTATGCTGCTATGTGTACAGTGTTGTGTGTATGCTGCTATGTGTACAGTGTGGTGTGTATGCTATGTGTACAGTGTGGTGTGTATGCTATGTGTACAATGTGGTGTGTATGCTGCTATGTGTACAGTGTTGTGTGTATGCTGCTATGTGTACAGTGTGGTGTGTATGCTATGTGTACAGTGTGGTGTGTATGCTGCTATGTGTACAATGTGGTGTACATGCTGCAATGTGTACTGTGTGGTGTGTACTATGTGGTGTGTATGCTATGTGTACAGTGTGGTGTGTATGCTATGTGTACTGTGTGGTGTGTATGCTGCTATGTGTACTGTGTGGTGTGTATGCTGCTATGTGTACTGTGTGGTGTGTATGCTGCTATGTGTACTGTGTGGTGTGTATGCTGCTATGTGTACTGTGTGGTGTGTATGCCGCTATGTGTACTGTGTGGTGTGTATGCTATGTGTATGCTATGTGTACTGTGTGCTGTGTTGTGTGTACTGTGTGTGGTGCTATGTGTACAGTGTGGTGTGTATGCTATGTGTACTGTGTGGTGTGTATGCTCCTATGTGTACTGTGTGGCGTGTATGCTATGTGAACTGTGTGGTGTGTATGCTGCTATGTGTACAGTGTGGTGCGTATGCTATGTGTACTGTGTGGTGTGTATGCTATGTGAACTGTGTGGTGTGTATGCTGCTATGTGTACAGTGTGGTGTGTATGCTATGTGTACTGTGTGGCGTGTATGCTATGTGAACTGTGTGGTGTGTATGCTGCTATGTGTACAGTGTGGTGCGTATGCTGCTATGTGTACAGTGTGGTGTGTATGCTGCTATGTGTACAGTGTGGTGTGTATGCTGCTATGTGTACAGTGTGGTGTGTATGCTGCTATGTGTACAGTGTGGTGTGTATGCTATGTGTACTGTGTGGTGTGCATGGTGCTATGTGTACAGTGTGGTGTGTATGCTATGTGTACAGTGTGGTGTGTATGCTATGTGTACTGTGTGGTGCATATGCTGCTATGTGTGATGTATGGTGTGTATGCTGCTATGTGTGGTGTGTGGTGTGTGGTGTGTATGCTGCTATGTGTACAGTGTGGTGTGTATGCTGCTATGTGTACAGTGTGGTGTGTATGCTATGTGTACAGTGTGGTGTGTATGCTATGTGTACAGTGTGGTGTGTATGCTGCTATGTGTACTGTGTGGTGTGTATGCTGCTATGTGTACAGTGTGGTGTGTAGGCTGCTATGTGTACAGTGTGGCGTTTATGCTGCTATGTGTACAGTGTGGTGTGTATGCTATGTGTACTGTGTGGTGTGTATGCTATGTGTACAGTGTGGTGTGTATGCTATGTGTACTGTGTGGTGTGTATGCTGCTATGTGTACAGTGTGGTGTGTATGCTGCTATGTGTACAGTGTGGTGTGTATGCTATGTGTACAGTGTGGTGTGTATGCTGCTATGTGTACAGTGTGGTGTGTATGCTGCTATGTGTACAGTGTGGTGTGTATGCTATGTGTACAGTGTGGTGTGTATGCCTTGGTACTGTGTGGTGCATATGCTGCTATGTATACGGTGTGGTGCATATGCTGCTATGTGTACAGTGTGGTGTGTATGCTGCTATGTGTACAGTGTGGTGTGTATGCTATGTGTACAATGTGGTGTGTATGCTGCTATGTGTACAGTGTTGTGTGTATGCTGCTATGTGTACAGTGTGGCGTGTATGCTATGTGTACAGTGTTGTGTGTATGCTATGTGTACAATGTGGTGTGTATGCTGCTATGTGTACAGTGTTGTGTGTATGCTGCTATGTGTACAGTGTGGTGTGTATGCTATGTGTACAGTGTGGTGTGTATGCTGCTATGTGTACAATGTGGTGTACATGCTGCAATGTGTACTGTGTGGTGTGTACTATGTGGTGTGTATGCTATGTGTACAGTGTGGTGTGTATGCTATGTGTACTGTGTGGTGTGTATGCTGCTATGTGTACAGTGTGGTGTGTATGCTGCTATGTGTACTGTGTGGTGTGTATGCTGCTATGTGTACTGTGTGGTGTGTATGCTGCTATGTGTACTGTGTGGTGTGTATGCTGCTATGTGTACAGTGTGGTGTGTATGCTGCTATGTGTACAATGTGGTGTGTATGCTGCTATGTGTACTGTGTGGTGTGTATGCTGCTATGTGTACTGTGTGGTGTGTATGCTGCTATGTGTACAGTGTGGTGTGTATGCTATGTGTACTGTGTGGTGTGTATGCTGCTATGTGTACAGTGTGGTGTGTATGCTATGTGTACTGTGTGGTGTGTATGCTGCTATGTGTACTGTGTGGTGTGTATGCTGCTATGTGTACAGTGTGGTGTGTATGCTATGTGTACTGTGTGGTGTGTATGCTGCTATGTGTACAGTGTGGTGTGTATGCTATGTGTACTGTGTGGTGTGCATGGTGCTATGTGTACAGTGTGGTGTGTATGCTGCTATGTGTACAGTGTGGTGTGTATGGTGCTATGTGTACAGTGTGGTGTGTATGCTATGTGTACTGTGTGGTGTGCCTGGTGCTATGTGTACAGTGTGGTGTGTATGCTATGTGTACAATGTGGTGTACATGCTGCAATGTGTACTGTGTGGTGTGTACTATGTGGTGTGTATGCTATGTGTACAGTGTGGTGTGTATGCTATGTGTACTGTGTGGTGTGTATGCTGCTATGTGTACAGTGTGGTGTGTATGCTGCTATGTGTACAGTGTGGTGTGTATGCTGCTATGTGTACAGTGTGGTGTGTATGCTATGTGTACAGTGTGGTGTGTATGCTATGTGTACTGTGTGGTGTGTACTCTGTCGTGTGTAGAGTCAGGTTCTGCCTAGAACTGACCTCCAGTGTGAAAGACAGCACCACATCAAGTTTGGACAGGCCTGGTTCGTTATCTTCACTGATGTCTAGCTTGGACAAAGAGGAGTGCTGTGCTCTGAAACAGATAATATAGCACACACTTCAAAACAATGGGAAGTCAATACAACACAGCCTTTTATGGATTACTGCTGTAAGTAGTATTTTCCTAGTATGGATTACTCTGGAAGCATAGGATTTAGTCCCTTGCAATTATTCTTGTTCTAAGATGGGTGATAATCAAACAGTGGAATTCTAATGTATAAGAACTCTGAACTCAAAGGATAAATCAAGAACACCTTTCTGCAAAATAAACATTTTGTAGATTTAGTGATTCAATATCTCCCAAACTTCTATTAATCAAAAGCATTAATGGAAGATATTAAAAATGATCATATCATACCACACAATTACTTCCAAATATTTCTACTTGCATTCGTCTACCACCATGAGCCATAAAGTGACAGTGGTCAGGAACAGTGTACAGGAACTATATATATGCCTGTTAAAACAACATTTCAGACTACAAACCTGGCCTCATATTTTCAATACAAAGAATTTTAATTGTATGGACTATTAGTGGCAAAGATAACTGGACTGAAATAATCTTGTCTAGACCCGGGATTTGGACTTGTTGCGATATTCACTGATTGCTATCATGGCTTATTTAACCTAGAAAACAGGGGTCAACAATCAGAGGTAGGGCTAGGAAGTACTACAGGTCATGCAGCCATCGTGAGCTCTCAATCCCCCATAATTTGGGTCCTCATCTGTTACAGAATCTTCATTGATACCCCCATCACTCGGGACCTAATCTGTTACAGAATCTTCACCAATACCCCCATTACTCGGGACCTAATCTGTTACAGAATCTTCATTGATACCCCCATTACTTGGAACCTAATCTGTTACAGAATCTTCATTGATACCCCCATCACTCGGGACCTAATCTGTTACAGAATCTTCACCAATACCCCCATTACTCGGGACCTAATCTGTTAAAGAATCTTCACCGATACCCCCATTACTTGGGACCTTATCTGTAAGAGAATCTTCACCGATACCCCCATTACTTGGGACCTAATCTGTTACAGAATCTTCACCGATACCCCCATTACTTGGGACCTAATCTGTAAGAGAATCTTCATCGATACCCCCATTAGTCGGGACCTTATCTGTAAGAGAATCTTCACCGATACCCCCATTACTCGGGACCTAATCTGTTAGAGAATCTTCACCGATACCACCATTACTTGGGTCCTAATCTGTTAGAGATTCTTCATTGATACCCCCATTAGTCGGGACCTTATCTGTAAGAGAATCTTCACCGATACCCCCATTACTCGGGACCTTATCTGTTACAGAATCATCATCGATACCCCCATTAGTCGGGACCTTATCTGTAAGAGAATCTTCACCAATACCCCCATTACTTGGGACCTTATCTGTAAGAGAATCTTCACTGTACCCCCATTTCTTGGGACCTAATCTGTAAGAGAATCTTTATCGATACCCCCATTACTTGGGACCTAATCTGTTACAGAATCATCATCAATACCCCCATTACTTTTGACCTAATCTGTAAGAGAATCTTCATCGATACCCCCATTACTTGGGACCTTATCTGTAAGAGAATCTTCACCGATACCCCCATTACTTGGGACCTAATCTGTTACAGAATCTTCATCAATACCCCCATTACTTTTGACCTAATCTGTAAGAGAATCTTCATCGATACCCCCATTACTTGGGACCTAATCTGTAAGAGAATCTTCTTCTACTCATTTTGTTGGTCTATTTACACCTTGATTTAACCACAGTGTTGGTCTATTTACACCTTGATTTAACCATAGTGTTGGTCTATTTACATCTTGATCTGGCCATAGTGTTGGTCTATTTACACCTTGATTTAACCATAGTGTTGGTCTATTTACACCTTGATTTAACCACAGTGTTGGTCTATTTACACCTTGATTTAACCATAGTGTTGGTCTATTTACATCTTGATCTGGCCATAGTGTTTGTCTAGCCCTGAACCAAGGATGCTGTATTGAATACACAATATCATGCATATAAACCCAGCACCGTGTTGCATCAAAAGTGGATGAAGGTAAAAAGAAGGAGAAATCTTATGAATAATCATAGAAATATCTTTAAAAAGATAAGAACAATAACCACCACAATATGTTTCTTCATGTCTCACAGAAATATTACACAGAAAAAAACAATCCAACTGGGATAGATCTGAAATGAAAATTGAATTAACAATTTCATCACAAAACAGATATGTTAAATTTGCAGCATTTACATTTGATTAACATACTATCTGGAAAATCACAACCATATGATTCAATATTATTCTGAAAGCAATTTTCGAGGGAGTACAATATCACAATAACATCTTGCCTCATAGCCCAGCACGTGGAGCTCAGCCATCAATAATATGGCCATAATGCCCTACTTCTACAGCCGGTGGATACAGATTTATTGACCTGATTCATAATTCATAACGGGAATATTGAGAAATGTCTGTATTTATTTCCATGGAGTAAACAGTTCACCTGTGCATGACAGGTTGATTATTCACAGCATTGATTGGACTGACCGCTACTAGGCACACCAAGGTGAATACAGTCATACTGGAGGTGATCTGCTCCAGTAACAGGTCACACAATGTCAGAGGCATCATGAGATTGAGTGCATATTGTTTAATGCCATTAGCAATATCATAGCTTTTTCACAGCACCCTGCTAGAAACTGAGCCAATGCCCGGAAACCAGGGACAGAAAGCATGATCCAGGCATTGGGATGACAACCAGGGACGGAAAGCATGATCCATGCATTGGGCAACAACCAGGGACTGAAAGCATGATCCAGGCATTGGGTTGACACAAAATAAGCCAAGTCACAGAGCCTGACCACCCAATTCCTATTTCTGTCGTCTCTTACGACAAGCAATGGGGACCTGCAGTGACCCTGATTCCTAACCGGATTTCATGGAATGAATGAGGGAGAAGTAGGGTTTGATTGAGATGGGTTTAACACTGCTTTGAACAATATTCCAGTTACATCACGGCGTGTCAGCCTAATGTGGGAAGAAATCCTGAAGTCATGAGCACGTGTATGGTGAATCTAGAAACATAATAGCGTTGAACCGGGATTTGAACCAACAATCATAAATTTTTGTCATTCAACTCTGCACAGCCAGTTATGAGACGAAATAAGTGAGAGATAAAGAGAGGGTTAAATGCTGCACCTGCCAATATTGGAGCTGTATCTCGGCATCACACCAAGTGAACCCATGTTCCATGAAGGGAACTGAACTAGAGTTGGAGGAACCAACACACACACAACTGGGACAGCCTTTCGGTTTCTGATTAAATACTATGAAGGAAGACTGATGCTGTGTTGATATGCTGACACTGCCTCATTCCAGTAACTAGTCCTCATAACGACGCCTCTAGGGAAACATTTTAAAAGACATTTCTACTACGGACTACTTAACCATTGAGCAATTTGGATTGGGTCAAAGGACCAGTTTCAACTCGGCTCAATTCATTTCAGCCAATTACTACAGAATGACTTCTTGATTTTCTAAAACAAATGACATACAGACATTTGCATGATATAATCATCTTTAGAAAGGATGTTTTGGAACATAATGTCCCAGAAAATGACCCGATCTGAAACCCTCCTTTTGGTATGGTTCATTTGTTTTACCAAAGTTTACTAATTCTGTTTAGACCACAATACCATGTGTTGTGAACTCCACATAACACTGAGATGGTCCTAACCATGAGGGATTAACACCTATGGCAGTATTCAACACTGTTGAGATATATGTTCGCACTATCAGCACATCTAAAACCTGTTCTGCTGCTATGAACTGGACAAGCCAAGAACCTGTAGAAGATTTGGTTGGTTGGTTTGTTGTTTAACGCCGCACTCAGGAATATTCCAGCTATATGACGGCGGTCTGTAAATAATCGAGTCTGGACCAGACAATCCAGTGATTAATATCATGAGCATCAATCCACGCAATTGGTATCGATGACATGCATCAACCAAGTCAGCGAGCCTGACCACCCGATCCCGTCAGTCGCCTTTTACGACAAGCATAGACGCCTTTTATGGCAAGCATGGGTTGCTGAAGACCTATTCTACCCTGAATCTTCACGGGTAACCTGTAGAAGAGAGTGTGCCACTGAAACCAGGTGCAATGTGCACTCATGCATTGTGTTGTACTTATGAATAATATTTTTGTGCATTAATCAAATCACCCCACCTCAAAAATGAAAGCTTCTAAACATGTTGTAATAAACAGCTTTACAACAATGTCTAGGACAAGTTGTAATATTGAATTACTCCAGCTGTGCATTTCGTGACCAATCATGCACGCACTCAGTTCAGAAATATTCATAAGTTTACAAAAAAAGTATTATCTGAAATGATAAATTGAATTTAGAGTTCCCAAATGGTTAGTATATTGAAACAACTATCTGAAATTTCAGCGAACCAACTGATAAATTTTCTGAGTGAATGCAGAGAATGCTCAGCTGAACCCATGAGGTTTTTCCAATCCTGACTGGAAGGCATCTATTGGAGCCAGTGAAAAAAAAATGCCAGACAACTATGGGTATATTCTAGCAGCAGGACGAACACATGCAGCCAATTTGACTCCCTCCACACGCCAGCCCTAGAGCCAAACACTTGTCTGCAACAACCTGCCATGCCACATGGACATCAGAATTAATCACTGATAAAAAACAATCTAGTCCTATGATGAAATGGAGTATGAAATAACACAATTCTTTTGGATTACTGCTTTCTTATAACATAGATGGGTTTTGGCAGATTACCACCAGCTCTTGTAATTCAAAGTTACTCTTGGGACACCGGTTACTTGAGATGGGGGGATTCGGCAGACTGGTCATGAATTTCCTGTTTTGTCTTACAATGCTTCAGTTTTTGACACACCAAGTCATCATAAATGTCTCTGGATTGCAACCTGATTTATCACATTACACAATAAAGTTTGTTTGGACAATTTCCCTTTTCCCCGAAAAAGTGATACTTCTG